GAGTTTTCGCCACCTGAATGTTGTAGGTTGTTCGTTCAAAAGAAGGCCTAACAAGGGGGGGTCACGGGCACCCCAGGACCCCCCCTAGCTACGCCCCTGCCTTGCTCCCAATTGCTGTGAACAAAGGCACCAATTTAATGCTGGGATAATTTGACAAAATATAGTGATATGCTTGAAGTTGTCCCCACCTTATTTTCACTGTGAGTGCACCCCAGACTGGAATGCAGTGAAGGTCTGTAAGTTCCTATTTGTAATGAACTCAGTTCCTCGTTGTCCCTACCCTAAGAGAGGGCTTGATGGGATTTAAGTGCGTTTCGTCTTTGAGTTCACTAAAGGAACATCTACCAAGTCCCTCATGTGTCCATATCTTTATAGTTTGAGTTGCAGTTGCATGGCTGAGAAATACAGGGTGAATCTTAATCCCAAGGAAAAAGAACCCTCATACCTTTTAGGGGTTAAGATTGCTTGTAAATGGGTACCGTAAAATAATGATCTAAGTGACACTCCCTATCTAATAAACGCCCCGTGCTTAGGGTAGTCTCATACAGCAGATCTTTGTGTTGCAGGGAAAGCACTGCTTGACGTCACCGAAAATGGCAGCTTACTTGTAGACTATGCTCTTTAACTAGGCTATGCCCTTCAAGGGGCCTTGAAGGGCATCATGCCAAAAGTACTGGGAATGACATTTCTTACTCAGCTGATTTTTTGGTTTTTCTTAGTGGTTAAAATGAATTTGAGTCGCGCCAATAAAGCGGGTGTCCTTATGACCCCTTAATGCCCCTATGATAGCAAATGCATAATTGAATTCTTTGTAGGTAAAATGGAAAAGGAATAAATGAATTTTGTTTTAAAACTTAACAAGTTTAATACACTAGATTTGCACCTCTCTCATACTGGTGTACCAATGACCAATCATTGAAAGTTCATCCTCTTAGAACGAAAAAAAAAAAGAGTCCCCTGGTCTTGGCCTGGCGAAAACAAAAATAAATGCAGTTTGTAAAGGTAATAGTATGATTGGTAGTGATATTTGGCATAAATATCACAAGTGATATGTCAAAATTGTTATACGCTGAGATAATTTTGAAATATCGCAAGTGGTATTTCTGCCAAATATCACGTAAAAATCATGCTATTATTTGTTCATACTACTACCCACAAAAGGTTTGTAATTTTCACATATAGGTATTTCAAATTAAGCTGAAATACCACTGCTCTAAGTCAATCAAATTGCAGAAATTTGTGGTAGTATGTATGTATGTAGTTGTATCTATGGAAATCAAGTGGATTTGCCACTCGACGTGTTATAAAAAGAAGTCATGGGATTTTGAAGTCACCAAAATGTTTAGATTTTTCCTTCTTATTACGTAAACATCCATTCGAAAGCATATGTCATTATATGTCATATGCTAAAAGTGGGCGCACTCTCTGATTGGTTCTTATAGAGGTTATGAGGTCATCATTTGGACATATAAATTAGCGAGCGGTATGTACGTTCCCGATTAAGCTGTTTCAGCTGTAAGCACTGCTCAAAGGGGTGAATTGCGGATAGTGGATGATCGAAGAAAACATTGTGTCTTTTGGTTGATTCACTGAATGGGGATTTTAAGGCAGACTAAATATCTTCTTCGCAAAAATTATTTAATCAAACGACGAAATTTACGAGAAACATTACAAGAAGTGCTTGTTCCAATATGGTGGGTAGTCCTTCTCTTGGTTATTGGATTATCCATTCCAAAGCAAAAACTAGCTCCTGTCAGAGACAGCGACATTCCAACTTTTAACGTTTCAGCCCTCGCTCCATCGAGTTCAGGGCGGGAAGGTTTTATCGTTGGATATGTGGTCAATGACATTCAAAACGCGAGCCGGGTTATCGAAAATATGAACAACTTCTCGGGGAAGGTGAGTTATTTGGAGTTCAACAATACAGACAGCATGTTGGATTATTACAGAAGGTACAGCGAAAGCACGGGCTTTGAGATGGGAATTGAATTTGCTAAAGGCAAGAGCGACAAGATGGCTTATACCTTGCACGTTGGTACGAAGTCAGCCTCCATTCCCAACCCCGAGGAACGACTCACTGGTAAGTGTTTATATTTCTGTCTGTGGCTTCACTCCATGGAAAGGCCGGTTTTTTGCTCGAAGCAATTCCCATTAATGATTATTTTTGTTATGTATTTGCAAGTCAGAAAAGAGGACATAATAACAAAGCCCTACCGCCATACCTATCACCAGCCAACTGCGCCCAGCCCCGCCCCCACCCACCCAGGCTAACCCCTGTGCATTAGGCAGTTGTGTAGGAGCTGCTTGTAAGGTCTCTCCTGATTAGTCGCCGAAAACAGTCACATTAGGGGCCGACCATTTGACTTTTGAGTGGGGAATGTGGGTGATTTCAGTAAAAAATATCCTGCAGGGTGATTTCGAGGGAAAAAAATTTGGTCAGTGTAAAAAACAGGCTGTAGACCATGCAAATGAGTACATGACAACAATAGTCCTGTTGTTTTCTAACCCTAAAAACAAATAGTCCGTAGTCAGTCTAAAGTCTGCACTTTATGCTGCCCCCTGGAGGAAAAATCTCTTTCGAGGCTTATAATCGAGGGGGAAAAAAATATTACAACATTGTATGTTGGGGAAAAAGAATTGTATCACCAGAGATGTGGAGAAAAAAAATTCTCACCCAAACCAAATCAAAACCAAAAACCCAAACCAAAAGTGTCAAGGTTGTGCTCTACGAAAAAAGAAATTCAAGGGAACCAGGTGCTCTGAACCTGGGAAATCCAGGCTACCTAGCATAGGATTTCTATGAAAAAGCTAAGATTTCCTAGTTGCCCAATAGCAAAAGTAAGCAGCTAGGGGCCACTGGACAGTGCCAGAACACAGCCCTGAATAAAGGTGGATCTTTTCTCAAACAGCGTAGAGAAATGAATGACTTCTGTCTTTGTTCTGATCTTTTTTTGTAGGTCAGGGTCAATGTCGTGATACAAACAGCGCAAGTTTGCGTTCCTGTGCTGCTAACTCGTACTTTTTTGCACATGTGACAGCCATACAAGCAAGCATTGATGCTGCAATTACTATGGTAAGTAATTATCCACAAGCTGTTAGAGGCCATCTACAATCCCAGCAGAGGACGGGCAACCTCCCATGGAAAAGTGACAGGGATGCTCATCATCTCGCTTAGGGCTGTAACTGCAGATTTTGTTCTCACTTAGGGTGTTTGGGAGAGAAAGTCAGTATATTTGCCGATTCAGGTATCTCTTCGGGCTGTGCATAAAGGAATTTACAAAGCTTGCTGTGATGTCTGCTTTAGTATGGTCTCCTATAGGGGTCAGTTTAAGTTTGAGCCACACCCACATTGGTCTCCCTTAGGAGTTTAAGTTTAAGTTCAATTTTTACCAATGTACAAAAATATAAAAATATATATACATATAATTAAAAGTACAATAGGTAAAGGAAAGCAATAGGGGGAAACTGAATTCCCATATAAAAACTGCCCTCCAAAACGAAAAGATAAAACAATTAAGAATAGAAAACTAATACATAACTATACATCACGTGATACTAAGAGAAAAAACAACAACAACGACAACAACAAGGAGTTTAATCTTTATTTTCTGATGAGCATCCCTTTCACTTTTATATGGGAGCAACCCCAACCCCCCCCCCCCCCTCGGGTGTATAATCCTACACCACTTCACTGTGTTCCTTGAAGTTTGATTTGTAAAGGCAGAGAAGAGTGAAAGTGACGAAGTGTCCCGACTATTTTGTCTGGGGCTGTAGGTTCAATAGATAATATAATTTTATATTTATTGTTAAGGCATTGCTAGGGGAGGATTGTGGGGGGTGACTGTGTTGCTTGTCCGTGTACTACCTGTGTCCTCAAAGGTTTGACCGTGTTTTGGAAAGAATTAATGCACTTGAACTGTTACCCATTTCAATTTTAATACAGTGTTTCACAAAATTTTTCTATTTTGGGAAGCAACTTCTGTCTGCTTGAATAATTCAAATGGCTTAAGCTTCATGCATTTTAAGTAATACATCCCATTCTTGGAAACATCCCTTAAATCTCTTAATGAATAGCCTGTTTAAGATCAGGAAACCTGAAATCATGACCACATTGGGAGAGACCCAACCCCCTCTCCCCTGGGGTCTAGTGTTTTGGCTAAGTTTTGTTTACATCATCATCATCATCATTATCATCATCACTTTTATTTATACACGGGTAAACATCAGGCTAAGATATAAATTTAACTAAAATACAAAAATATGTTTTTATAACTTTCTGTCAAGGGTAGCAGTAGTCTCTTACAAAATAATAATATAGTGTTTGAATTTTTTTTGTTTGAAGGTTGAAGCCAGTTTGCCATCCTATGTCGTTCCAAACATCCAAGCAAAAATGATGCCCAAAGAATCCTTCACTCAATCTTTTACAGGTTTTGCAATAACAGCATCAATTTACATGGTGCTGGCCTTCACACCATATATAGTTATCCTGTTAATTAATCTGGTTCTGGAAAAGGAGAAGAAGCTCAAAGACTTGATGAGAATCATGGGCATGTCAGATATTGCTTACTGGTTATCTTGGTGCATTACTTATGGAGTAGTTCTGCTTGTTGCCTCTCTCATCTTGAATGCCATCTTGGTGCCAGCCGGACGCTTGGGTGGAAGCAATTATGCTCTAATGGTCATATTATTCTTCTTGTATGGTTTGTCAATCATTATGCTGGCCTTTTTGCTGTCACCGTTTTTCAAGGTTGCCAAGACTGCAGGTGTAGTGGTGTCGATAATGAGTCCTGCGCTGGGTTGCATTGCTATTCCACTCATCACTGCTGATGTCGCGGACCCGGCAAAATGGGGAGTGTCTCTCTTCTCACCAACTGCTTTTGCTCTCCTTGTCTCTCAGGTCAGTTAAATTTGTTTGGCTCTAACCGTTGGTTGCTCAACAAACAGTCAGCAATGTTGCAGCTCTCTGAATAGCAGAAAACAAATTCAGCATTTTAAAAGGATTGTTTGTTGTTCACAAAGCTGAAACTTGTTGAATGGAATAAAATCCATGATCTCTATTCTCATTCAATGACAATTAAAAAATAATGTTGAACATGTTGAGTGTCCTTTTTCAAATTATGTGCAAGACATAGTATGATTTTATAATAATATTAATTTGTATTATTATTTAATTATATATTATTTAATTGACTCCAACAAGATCACACACAATTCAGCAACTATACAAATTAGTAGAAAAAAGCGTGGCTGGGATATCACAACAGCCATGGCTTATTATGATAATAGTAGACTCATGATACATTGTTTAACTGTAGCTGAATTTTATAGAGTATATATGCAATGTGTTTTTTAATCAACAAATGAACAGTGAATGCCAATCCATGTAAGCCAGATTTATTATTTGAAATATCACTTTTATGATTTTCCCAGACATAAAAATCAAGAATATGTTATCACTTATTTAAGGAATAAACCACACTTTAGATGGGTTTATCGGCGTGATAACCCATGCGGGATGTTGGGTGAACACAAGAAAAGCTTGTACATCACAAGCTGAAGGCGAGTGATTTACAAGCTTTTTGAGTGTTTTCCCAACATCCTAAGTGGGTTATCACGCCAGTAAACCCATAGAAAGTGTGGTCTATTGCTATTATAAAATAACTTTAAGTTTTCTATGAGTTTACTGGCACAATAAACCATATAGATTTTTAACCAATCGGAATGCACATACTATCTTGGTTCTTTTATAAAAATTGATATCCATGCTAAGTATCAAAGTCAATTGGCTATTCCTGAATACCTCAAGCCTCTGTTTCAAAGTGAGGCTAAGTGCGAAGCTGTTGATATCGAAATAAATTTTCATTATTAGGGAAAGTTCATTTAATATGACAAGGGGGGGGGGGATGAAGATATTGAAACTCGAAGCTTGAAATTTTAGCAGCCCCCCTCGCTAGCGGTTCAATTTTTTAGGAGCCCCCTCCTTGGTAGTCGAAAAAATTTCAGAGCCCCCCCCCCTCCTCCTTCAATTCCTTTGCTCCCCTGAAAAAAGATCGCTAGACTGTTTAAATATATTTACCGTTATTGTCTTCAATGGTTTATACTATGACAAACTTGAGATACACAATTTTCTAAAGCATTTTTGGGATGAACAAGAGTGTAATAATTACTGAGACTACATTTGTTATATCTGTAAACCACGTGATATAGCTGAGTTGCACAGGTCATTAAATTGTTGAGTTGAAAACCATCCGATCTGTATGATGATGTCATGTGTTGGTTTTGAATTATACAAATTTTCGGAGCCCCCCCTCCTAGCGCAACAATTTTTTTTTCAGAGCCCCCCCTTCGGGTGTCTAAAAATTTTCGGAGCCCCCCCTCAATATCTTCATCCCCCCCCCTTGTCATATTAAATGAACTTTCCCTTATGCAAATAAAACTCATTTTCAGGTCTTGCATTTAGCCTTGTTTTGAAAATGAAAGTTTCAAAATGGAAAACAGAAATGGCCTATAATATTTGAGGTATCCAATATCCCATGACTGTTTTGTATGCTCAGGTTATAATACTAGCCATCGATGGCACATATTATTTTTGGATATTGTTCCTTGAATCGTAGGTTCAATGTGCAGTGGTTTAAAGTTTATCAATGCAATAATAGTTAACTTTTAAATAATTTTTTATGGTTAACCATTAACCCTTACTTTAAGTAGAAAGTTAGTATAATTTTTAATTACCAGGAGCTCTGCTTTATATGTTGTAATATTATTATATTTTTAGGCTGTTGATGATGAAGGTCTACAATTTGACAACTTGACCACCAAAGGAAGTTTTCCACCTATTAACTACGTGGTTATGTTGATAGTAGACATCATCCTTTACTTTTTGCTGGCACTCTATCTTGACAACGTGATTCCTACTCAGTATGGGCAGCGGAGATCACCATACTTTATCTTTATGCCTTCATTCTGGAAAAGCCTGTTTAATGGCAAGAAAAAGGAAGGACTTAACAGAGAGATGTCAGCAAGAGAGCAAGAGACTTCTGAAGATATTGAGACTGTACATGCTGATATGCATGGAAATGAAGCAATAAGGTACACTAGCTGGTCAATTATTTTTTTAACAACACTAAAATTGAAGGCCTCTGTGCAAAATGGCTCCTAGATATTTCCCTAATTTTCCAATGCATGCAGAACTGTGACTTTTTGGGGGGGGGTAAGAAACACATATGCATAGTGTTAAAAATTTTCCCAATCATTTCCACTTTATTACTAGGCTGAAATCACATATGCAAAAAACATTTAACCTTCCTGGTGGTTTCCTTTGTTGCCTTATAATGTCTTCCATGGAATTGAGAAGGTGGTGAATGATAAAGAAACTAACTGGCACGGGGTGATCATGCTCTCTTGAAACCCCCTGTGCGATTAATAGTTGTAATCTAAGGAAAAAAATTATAATTTGATGCTCAGGTCAATGTCTGAGATTAAACTCCTATAGGTAAAGGTAAACACCTCAAGTAACACATTTTTAAAGATCATACTAATAATTATTGTGTTTCATTATATTTTCTAGTATTCATCGGTTGAGGAAAGTCTTCCACGGAAAAGAAGAAATAGTTGCTGTTGATGGTAATCATGCAATAAAGAAATATTTTGCTCATGATGAACAATGTTAATCATGTTATTTCTGGCATAAATTAATTTACCACTGATAAGATACATATTTATTCAAGTTTTTTGTAAATTTGTATGCTTTTATATATATAAATATGTGCATTTGAACATTTTATGGAATATTTTGCACATTATAAATATTTTATTATCATTATTATTATTATTATTATTATTATTATTATTATTATCAATTATTAATCGATTTCACTCATGATGGTATGACATTTATAATAATTGTTGTTAATTGCATTGATAACTTCTCTGTGTAAAACAGAGTGTAGCATCTAAGTGAACTTCATTTTACTGGTTTTTGCTGGTTCCAACAGGAGTAAGCATAGATATCTATGCGGGACAGGTCACGGCACTTTTGGGTCATAATGGAGCAGGCAAATCAACCTTGATCGCTCTGATCACAGGCGTGGCTCCTGCGTCTGGTGGCTATGCTACTGTTTATGGATTGGATATCACTGACCCAAATCAGATGCAGGAAATAAGAAAGTTAATTGGTAACTATTTAGATATTAGGGAACTTAAGAACCATGACGACGACTTTGTCGACGATGACCGGAAGTGAGATACCATGCACTGCGCAAGCGCGGTTTACAAATTTCGTCGTCATGGTGTCGTCGACGACGCCAAACACAGTAGAGTCACGTCGTCCTGCAGTCCACAAGCTTCGGCAGGTATAACTCCCTGTTTTTAAGCGATTTTTCAAGGGCTTTGTATTTTTTCCACCTCGTAAATCCAGGTATCCTTTCTTTTTTCTGCTAACAAGCGATGTTGATTGAAAATTTGACTGATGAATTGTGTTTACTTCGAAGACAACACTGAGCTGTGCAGGCCGAGTGAGCGAACTCGTAAGTGACGAAATTTATTTGTACCTATTTAGGTCAGGTAAATAATATGTCTTTAAGATAGAGGAAATGAACTTTATATGAAAAACAGCTATCGCATCGGAATGTCTCTTTTTCCAAATCTAAACTCTGACAGACACTCGGACTCGGTCATGTCATTCAGGTTGAAAGTTGAATAACCTTCGTACGGAAAGCAGAGATTTTTCCATTCGAAAAGGTCAGACAACACTAAAAATTCTTCATCGTCAATGAAAGTAGACGTACGGCTTATAAAATAAGATCTTGCATCGTCTTAAAAGACGGTTTTGCGAAAAAACTTTGTTGCGAATGAACATCACAGTTGTACTACTTCTACGTGTTATTTTACATTCAGTGTCGTCATCGTCGACCTACCCGATCGACTGCATCTTAAGTTTCCTTTTTCCCGCCGAAACTGACGTTCTTGTTCCAGTCCTTTCTCAGTCAACAGACGTCGTCGTCGTGAACTTCGTCGTGGTTCTTAAGTTCCCTATTTTCCTTGGATTTACTTGCCATTAATAAACCATCATAATAATTTTATCGAAAAATATCGTTCTGTAAACCTTACAGTAAACATCTATACTGTTATCATGTTATAAGAAGTCTTGCTGGTCCATTATTCAGCGTTTGCCATAGACTGATCGAGGTACTTGGTAAACTCTTATTTTGGTCGAGGTCTATGATTTGTGTCTCAACGACTCAGTCCCATTTCGTGGTATGTACTTTTGCAGTTGTAGGTGTCATTGTCTTCAAGATATGGTCTGTTCTTAAGCTTATTCCAATTTTTTCACCCCTCTTGTTAAAACATTAGAATAAATATTAAAATTTATCTAGTTTGCTCTATGCTGTTTTTGTAGGTGTTTGCCCCCAAGACAATGTTCTGTTTGACTTCTTGACTGTAAAGGAACATCTAGAATTCTACTGTGGACTGAAAGGAATTGAAGGAGAAGAGGCAGACACAAGAGTAAATACTTTTATTTTTTTCTCTCTGTTAACCCTTTAAGTCCCAATAGTGACCAAGATCAATTTTCTCCTAACAATATCCATACACTATCAAGAGATAAGTTATGAGAATTAATAAAATGATCACCTGAGAGAAAATGCCCTGATCTATCATCAAATTCTCTCAACTAATTCCTTAAGGAAATGTATGGAGATCAGTTTGGAGAATTTGTATGTGGATACTGGGGCTTAAGGGTTAACACTAAGCAGTCATAGTGATCAAGAAATTTTGTAGTGGGACACTTAGTGCTGTAGCACTTTCACTTATTGTACACGGTTTCAAGAAAAATATTTCTTTCCATTTTTTTGAAGACCCTAGCTATAGTACATTCATTTTAGCATAGAGGCTGAAGGGGGGCTAGCTATTAACTGAGAACAAACAAGTTTAATAGAACACAAACAACATTAGGAATCCCGTCTGCCAGCAGGTTGCAAACCAGTTTGGCTATTTGATTGCATGAAAAAGCAGCGGTTCTACCTTGAACAGTAATTAAATCCAGCTGGTAGTGGAAAAGCAGGACTTGAACTCGGGGCCTCCACATAACAAGTTTTGTGCTGGGAATATTAATGATTGGTTATGGTGCTTCCCACTTTGTCTGTTTTTAAAAATTTACAAGTTTAGCTCAACCTGTTGAGCTGGAGTGAGCGTTTTGCCTTACAATGTTGTTTTGTGTAGGAAATATGATTTTTAATAGTTTTGATACTTCTTTTTTCAAGGTTACTCAGTTGTTGAAGGACATAGACCTCACTGAGCAGAAGGACACTTTATCAATGAATTTAAGTGGAGGACAGAAAAGAAAGCTTTGTGTTGGTGTGGCACTTGTAGGAAATCCAAAGGTGCTTATGATCTGTGCGAGGCATAAGTCCAAGTCTGCAGAATGTTCACATGGTCACATATCATACGCTGCAAAAAAATTTATTTGTATAGATTTGGAGCAGAATACCTACTGTTTTTTTTTAATTCAACACAACTTTAGAAAGTTTCAGGGGTTCTGCGTGTTGTTTCTAAAAAATTAGCATTTTTTTTTGTCCAGAATATGCAACTATTATTCTTTATTAAAAGATTTCTTGTGGATTATGCAATGTGCAGATGTGTTATAAGAGATCAATATTAATATTGTGTGAAATCTCACCATCACATAATATCAGAGACCCCAATGCTGAGAAGGACAGCAAACTTGAAAAAGAATGTTTGAATGCCATCTGGCAAATAAATGTTTCTAAGATAGTTGTGTCACTTCACAATATTCTTTTGTTGTTGTTTAATGAAAAAGGTTGTGATATTGGATGAACCTACGAGTGGGATGGATCCATATTCTAGACGGCTTATGTGGTCCTTGTTGCAAGAGAAAGCTAAAGATAGAGTTGTTCTTCTTACAACGCATTTCATGGATGAAGCTGATATTTTAGCTGGTATTGTACAAAATTGTACTCTTTTTCCATGACTTGCAGAGTTTAACTCCAAAATTTTTAACACATACTCCATTTCATTTGCAGTGACTTTGTCTTTTAGTTGCAATGTATGTGTTATTAATTTCTTTTTTTTTGTGCAGATTACAAGGCTATTTTATCAAAAGGAAAGGTGCGCTGTGCTGGTAGTTCACTTTTCCTGAAGAATCGTTTTGGAATTGGATACCATTTAAAGTAAGTTTCTGTTTGGACTTAAGTTGAACCTCTCTAAAATAGCTCTCTAACCAGTTGTGCTGTGGTAAGGGGCCATTCTGGAGAGGTGGCTTTATTGGGACAGAAGGGTGTGAATTGTGAAACCAATTTTTTTTTTCATAGGGGAGCACATTTTTAGTTTTCAAAAAATGCTCATTACAAACACAGAAAGCTGTGAACACTGAAAACCTACATAGGACACCTGAACATGCAAGCAAGCTGCAAATCCACAAACTACATTATTGCTTCTTAAAGTTCAGTTTCTCATAAATGACTGACTTCTTCTTTTTGACACAATAACATTCCAGAAGTATGTTTGGTGTTCAAAGTGAGTAAATCAGTGACTGTACAAACTGTTTGTACATCATTGACTTTTAACTGGCTTATTTGGAGAGGTTATTTTCACATCATTTTCACTAAATTGCATCTTTTAATTTAGTAGAGGTGAGACTTTATGTTAAAGTAGTGTCTCCATCTCTGAATGTGGGAAATTCTGGAAAATTGTTATGAGTCTAAGAAGCATGATTACTCAGTAACCGTGGAAAAATCTGCATGTTGTAAATTTCCAGCATGGCACTAGCAGATGATTGTGACACAGACCGCCTGACTGACCTCGTTCAGAGCAAAGTGCAAGGTGCTGAAGTTATTCGTCATCATGGCAAAGAAATGGCATTTTCTCTTCCAATGGAGCAACTATCTATCTTCCCAGGTATTGTTGGCTCTGATGTTCAGGAGAGCGTTTTAATAATCTCCCCTGTGTAAAATTTTTCAAATGATAAAATTAATAGATTAATTAATAAGTAAGGGTGCTTTGCAAAAGTCAGAACTGGCTGGCCAGACCCTGCATTTTGAAAAGGAAATGTTAGTCTTTGGTAGAACCTTTTACTAAAACCCATTACAGCGGGTACATAGTGTTTAGAAATAAACTGATCGGGCTGGATTGTCCTTATTAATAGTGGAATTCTCGTGACGACTTGACTGGTCTGGCCAGGCCAGCCAGTTTTGATAAGTTTATTTGGTAAGAGCCCGAAGTTAAAGGTAAGAAAAAAGGTTGAGAAAGAAAAAATTGTTGACAATTTGTTAACTGTTCCCATTACTATAATTTTTAAAGAAGATTAATTTCAATGAAATATGACCTGCGATCAGTCGTTCTTTTTTTCCGGGAAGCGCAAAATTCAGCAGAGAGGCAAAGAAAAAGGAAGTAGGACTGCCTGATCGCAGGTTAAAGAAATATAATAAGCTACAATTAGAGCATATTAAAGTTAATGAATAAATCAGGATGAAATTTGGTCCCACGGCAAATAGCAGAAGCAAGTCAAGGTGGGCGGAGCAACAAGAGCAAAGCAGTCTGTCAGTGGTGATCTAACTCTTGGGGTCTTTTACCCCCATCCCCATCCTGAGCCGGAGTACTGAGCTTATTTGCAGGCTAACATGGGCATGGTCAGTCCTTTTTGGGAGACAATTGACAGTATTTTTATAATTTATTCACCAACCGTCAGTATCTACGTTTGATTAACATTGTCAAATGTAATATGATAACATAATATATAGTAATAAATATTATAAATGTAATATAATAAGGGAGCGGTCATTAACTATTGGGGGGGGAGGGTCGGTATTATTTCAAAGGTTAGAGCCCAAAAATGTTAGCCCCTCTCAGGTTAACAGCCCAAAAATCTTGGCCCCCTTTAAAATGTGAGCCCAAAAAATTGTAACCCTCCCCTGTGAAAAACTTTTGATTTTTTTACGAACGTTATTTTGAGACAATTATTTCACTGGAATAAGAAAAAAGTGTTACTATTTTAATACACTATTTACAAAACCCAATGGTTCACCAAGTAAAGGGAACCCTCGGCCCTTTTCATTTTTTCAAGAATTCCGCGTGACTTCATTCCAGCATTCCAGCTCTAATGAACATGGCTAGTTCTTCGCGATTTATACTGGGTTCATCGCCAATACTAGATGTACTTCAAAGAGCAGATCTAGAAGATTATTAGGGTGCTTGCGTCAGAAAAGGTTTAAAAAAAGTTGAACACCTCCAACATGTGAACGAAGAGCTTCTTAGGCAGGAATTAGGTAAGCTTTAATACATGTAATTAAAGATAGTTCCAGGGTTTTAATGTTTTATTTTATTTTTATTAAATATAGTTGGTTTTTATATTTAGACCAAAATGGGAGGTACGAAATGAAAAAAGCAGCAGATATCAGTACATACATGTAGTACTCACACGTTCACTGTGTTTACAGTTGTAATGTTTGTCCTTAATTTCTACTGCTTTTTTCGCACTATGTAGCGATCATGGTCGATCAGGATATCAAAGGAGCGGAAATTTTACTCGAAGGCGAAATATTTTGACGAATATTGTTAGGTGAAATGGGCATTGTTTGAGAAAGACATTGATCCATGATTCATATCAAGAGTAACTGAGATTTCGCGAAGGTGCAGAGATCCAAAGACAACACGAAATCTCTGACAGCATACGTGCTAACCATGGCAAAGTTCCTCTAATAAAATGTTGCTCTTTTTGATGTGTTTTTTTTCTTTTTTTTTTTCCCTCAGGAATGACTGTATTTGAAGCAAGAAGGCTTTTAGAAGTATACAAAGAGTCTCAGGAATCCACAGCGGAAATGACAAGTCACAAAAATGCGGCGAATAGACAAAATCAAGCAAGCGTGAACAAGGATAAAAACCTTGGCTGGATCCCAAATCCCCGGAATGACATGAGCAGATTTTATAACGAAGTGTACGAATCATTTTATTTGGAACGGGTTGGCTATTTTGGTGGAAACAAGAAGGCCTTTAAGAAAGCATTCCATGAAGAAGCGAGAAGGGAATACGACAATGAGAAGGCGGTAAAAAAAATTAGAGAGCAATTAGCGCAACTGAAATCTGTAAAGGATCCTTCTAAGGCTGGATTTCTTCTAAGAGAAAACCACATTCTCAAGCCGCATGATTCAACGACCATAACGCAGAACATGTTACACATAAAGAGGGTCGAAACTTCAATCGAAACTTTACAAAAAAAACCTAAAGGAACACTTAGAAAGAACAATCCATTCATCAGGTAGAGTTTTAACAGGACATAAAACTGCACATGACTTTGATGAGCAAAAGCTAACTGAATTGCAGGGTTTTAGAAATGAATTACACACTTTAATAACTAGTCTAAGTCAGCTCCAAGAAACCTGCAAAGCAGCATTTAAGCACCCCTTTTCTGCAATGAAAAGAAAATCAAGAAAAAGGAAACAAAATACCCAAAAGAGTGTGAAGCGGAAAAAGGCGAGGCATGTGGCCAGGACGACTGAGGTTCTCAAGAAGATTGCGCCTGATTGGTCGGAGGGTAAGATTTGTGAGAAGGAGGATTTGTGCGGAGACATCGTAAAAGAACTTGGAAAAAGAGAGCAGAAATGGGCGGTAGCTTTGATGTTTGATCAGTGCGAACTTTTGAATGACAGCGCGAAATCAGAGCTTAGAACAATGTTAGGGTTTTCTGAAAGTGAGAGTAGCTCTAATGCAAGTGACGGCGATGAAAGTAGCGACCAAGACAACCTAAGTAGCATCAATGACAGCAAAGACAGTGAAAGAAATAGCGATGACGGGGCCGATGATAGTGATGTAACTGAACAATGTCAGGAGGAGGATTCGGGAAGTGTCTTTACTGCAGTGGAAGCATACGACAGCAGCAGTGCAGAAGACATTGGCCCCTACTGGAACACAATGGAATGCACTCCTTACTATGAGCCCATTGAGTAGTCGTTTATACATCTTCACTGGACATTGGCAATATGTTTGATACCGTTACTGTTTAAGACTGATTGAGTTTTATAGCATACCAGAATTTGTTGATTTTTAAAATAACAATAAATCAAGTGATGTTTATAAAATTGTTCTGGGTGTGAGCTTTTTCACTGTGCAATTAAGCTTTGAGTATACGATTCTATGAAGATTCTTGCCATGCTAAAGTCAATAGCACAAAACCCATTTGTGCACATCGCCCAAAGTTTTAATAAAAGGCGCCCAGAAATTGTAACCCTCCCTATAAAACGTGGGCCCATAAAATTATGGCCCACCCCAAATGGGCGCCCAAAAAAACACAGCCCTCCCCCAAAATTTACCAGCCCTCCCCCCCAATAGTTAATATAATTATATGTTATATAATTTTGTCAGATTTACTTAAAGCCCTTGAAGATCATAATGACAGTGCTGATGTTTGTGCTGCTCCGTTATTGGGTGTTACGAGTTATGGTGTATCCATGACAACCCTGGAAGAGGTTTTTCTCCAACTGGAAGACACCAGTGATGAAACAAGCGAGTCTGTGGAGGAAAACGAGCCAATTCAGGTAGGTAATCACTCAGGAATTGCTGTATTTTTGTTGGAAATATACTGCTTAGCTGTATAAGCCAACCGCCTGCTGCCTGCATGTCTTGAAAATCCAGTTTGGCACTCTGTCTGTCCCTCACAGCAACGCAAGTTCAAACGGTCACCAGTCTTCTCCGTTCTTTTCCGCACTAAAAATGGTATCAAAGTTCCCCCCTCCCCAACCCCATTCCCAGGGTTCTCTCCAAGAACCATTGGGGACGAGGTTGTCCCCCCCCCCCTCCCCTACTCTCCACCCTGAGAAAAGGGGCATGCACAACTGTAAAAAGAGAAAAGAATATTGTAGCTTTTATTTCAAAAATAGCCATGGGTTTCAATAAAAATTGAATTAGCCAGCAGATTTGCATGGAGTAACTGACCGTATCAACAGTCCACGTTTTCAAGGGGTGTCTGGGGGCATGCTCCCTCAGAAAATATTAATAAGCGATTTCCAGCGTTTAGGAGACTATTTAAACTGAGTATAAAAGAGCGAGTTTTCCATTCAAGAAGATTTGGGTTTTAGTCCAAATTGGCAAATTTTGATTTATTACCTACACAATTAACTCCTGCAAGCAATGAACGAACGATAATTATACTACTGGTAAGTTACATACATTTCTGCGTGATCAAATTCTATTGTTGTCCATGACATTATTCAAACTAGCTGCTTCTTCTTCGGAGAAAAAAATAGCCGACTTCTCTGAGCAATGTAGCTGACGCGTTTCGTCGGTCGTCGGTGCTTATTGAAACCCCTGAATGGTAGTATATTTTGGATAACAACTGACAGGTACTTTGTGGTAATTTGTTGAATATATGAGTTTTATGTCTCGTCATGTGTTGTAACACCTGGACAAGTTTAATATCAGCTGTTGCTAACCCTCCCAACGTCTGTCTCCAGTGGGTGATGTTAGGGACTTTTAAGATCCGAGAACGCGACGGCAGCGAAAACATCTCTCAAAAGTGAATTTGCATTTTTCAAATCTTCATCGCGATTATTCCTACCCACTTACTTCGTCAAATGTAGGCGAAACTAGTTCCTGGAGTCGAATTCCCATGTTCAAGTTCAGAAATTTGGTCGTCTATTCTTTTCCTCCTCCTTAAAAAGTTAAATTAGGCATTTTCACGTCGTAGTCGTGCAGTGTTGACAAAGAAATGTACAAAAAAGTGTGATGCACGCGCAAAGTTGTCAGTTTTGCCTTGTAAACCAATTGCTTTTTTTTTTCTTGACGTTCTCGCTGCCGTCGCACCTTGCTTTGCGTGCGGAATTTGTCCAGGAAAGTCTTGTAATTCAAATCCACGTGGTTCACTCCTCCTCCAGGTACTTCACTGCAGATGGCTTTTGCTAATTGTAACTGTTAAATATGCTCCTGTTTAAACGATTGACGTTTGTCTAACATTACTGAACTGTAAAAGTAATTCAATCCAAGGCTGCAAAAGGCGCTAATAAACAAACTGAAACTTCCTAACGAACTCACCATCTATCTATGTATCTAACGTTTCATTTAAGGATGCGAGGGAGGTTATTGGACAGCTGCTAACTCCCTCAGATGTCCTTACTGTTCAAGATGGAGCCTCGAGGGTTTCGGGTTCAGTTAATGCATTAAACACTGGCGGTGTAGAATTAAATAAGCCTGAACTCAGACAGAACTCACGGGCACCTTCACAGAAGGAAAAACAACAGCTGCTAGGTTTATTGAAGGTATGTCACAGCGCCACAATAATGGTATCATTTGCTACCTTCATAGCACATTCAGGACGAAAACGCAAAGCTCTTGGAAAGCGCCACCAACATGTTTTACACAGCAGGGGCAGAGCTAAATAATAGTTCAGCTAAGGAGAAATCAAATGAAGATTTGTGGAAGGAAAAGCAACAGTTGTTAGGTTTACTTACGGTATGTTTGCATGACCTACATCACGTTTCATGCTTCAACTTTGGTTGGTTCTAACTATTTCCTTATGTCTTGACACAAAATTAACTCGTGAAATCATGGTTTAATATGTAGCTTTTCATCTGGAATTTACTTACAGACTGTAGAAACTGTTTTTGCAAAAATGACAGTACAAGAAATCCTTCAATCAATTCCTTTAGTGAGCTATAATATTGACCAGTAAAATTTTTCTTTGAAATTACCGCCCATGTGGAACTTAGCCTGTTGCAGGCTCCAAGATAGAGTAATGTAGTAAAGGGCAAAGATCGTGAAAATGTGAGCGAAAAACGCGAGGGGCCGGGAGCAGAGAACGCTCTCTCCTTCTTTTCCCGCCTCCGCCCCTTTTCACGGAACGCGCGATAGTCGCCATAGTCTCAGGTCGTTATTAACGTCCCTTTCTCTAAAGTGACATCGGCATTGTTGCATAACGTTCGAAATATATGGATTTGTGCGGTAAAAAAAAACATTGTTTCTGTTTCCTACGAATGTGAAAGGATTTAAATAAAAATCGGCTAACCTCACTTAAGTTGTCTTTCCTCTTTCCTTTTTGGTTCCCGAGTCGATTTATGGCAATTTTATGCGTTTTAATTAAGCTGGTTTCTTCTCTCTATAATCCTTTCGAGTTTGGGCCAGCTGTGATTAAAGGTACAATGGATATACAATTTTATTATCTCCACAGATCCGTTGGTTGATGACCGCTCGCTCCCCATCAAAGATCATTTTTATGGTCATCATTCCACCGATTCTATTAATTGTTGGTCTAGCATTGTTACTGAAAACCAAGGACAACACCAAGACTTCTAGCCAAGCTGATCCCCTTCAACTGAGTCCTAAATTGTACCTCAAACCTGGAAGCCAAGAAACGTACGCCACCGATGCCCTGGTTCAGAACGCGACTGGTCATGTAATAGATTATATCTTGGGATACTTAACCGACTATGAAGTTGGCACAGATTTGGTGTCCTCCATTGGTAGTGTCTTGAACAGTTCTTCACATGCTCTTTACAACTTGGCATTCAGCATTCGACAGTTCCCCGCCGCATTCAATTTGTCAAATTCTGGCGTAAGTGTGGATTTTTCAAATCTAGTCCTTGTATTTGCAGAGCAGACAACATTTCTGTAGCCTCCTGACAGTTTTTTTGTTGAGCTTTAACGTAATTAGGTGTTCACACCGCATCAAAGTATGGTATAAAACCTCTCCGATATGTTACGCTCCACTTTCGAGATCAGCGCGGCGCAGCTTCGCTCCGTCACACAAATCGCGCCGCCACAACCGTTCTTGTGTGTGAACAGAAGTCCTATCCGGTATAGCCTGCGTGGCCGGCGTTGAAAGGGGAAGGGGGAATTTGGGCGCGCGCGAGAGCGTGTGGGGCGCCCCACACTCTCTCTCGCGCGCCCAAATTTCCCCTTCCCCTTCCCCTTTCAACGCCGGCCACGCAGGCTATATCCGGTATGATATTCGTGACGGCGTAGAATCTATCCGGTAGAGTGTGAACAAAGCCTAATGGAAACTCTCTAATTGTTCCAGATACTGTGTATTACTAGAATTTCACATAGTGGTATTACCACTATCCACGCTGATGAGTGTGACATTTGGAAAATTATCAGCCAATATATAGAGCGTCCCCAATAGGGTTTTTCAATCCCGTAATCCCGACCCAAGATTTCGAGCAATCCCGTAATCCCGAGGGTTATTTTTGGCATCCCACCTCCCGCGCATACTTTCAATCCCGAATCTTTCCAATCCCGAGCTTCAAATAAGGGGGATCCCGTATCCCGGAAAAACTATTGGGGACCCTCAATAAACAATTGAATAATTACAGCATGAAGAGCAGCAGCAGTACGCGATCTTATCATCGCTGTCAATCTCAAAGTGACTATCGCAAGACAAACAATCAGACTTAGCTTTCAGCAAATTCAGTTCTTGTTCTTGATTTTTCTTCTCTCAACTTGATGAATTTGCATCACTTTACTTTCTTGCAGCTTGCGGGTTTGAGCTCAAGCTTTTTCATGCGGTACAATGACACCACAGTACATTCAGTTCCTGTTGGAGTTAATATCCTGGGATCTATTCTCCATATGAATGCACTAAAGAGTCAGAATCTGACACCTTACCCTCTGGAGGCTAACATTCTACCATTTCCTGGACTCAAACCTCAATGGACCTATGACGGTACATCCTTCACGTCAATTTTGTTGATCGGTTTGGGTCTGGCTCTTATACCAGGAGGTTTTGCCATTGAAGTTGTGGCACTTCGCCAGGTGAGCTACATACTTAGGGGGGATGGGTGAGGCTTGTGCAGAGTCGTGAAGGTCGGGAAAAAGTCGGCCGGAAGTAGGAGCCCATCCTACCGGAAGGTAACAAAGTGTTCTGCAAGGTCAGGGAAAAGTTAGCTTTAAGATCTTCATTTCAATTGCTACCACGGTACTGTTAATTTTTACGTTAAATCGACACGTTACATCGCTTGCACAGAAATCCAAAAGACAACAGAAGGAGAGCAAGCGGAAGGTAAAAGTCAAGGGGAAAGTGTTAATTTTAATTTTGCCTTCTGCGCATGCCCGAACTTCGAAAGCTCTAATTTAGCATCAGCAACAGAAAGGTAGCGTGATTAATTGATTAACATTTTGTACAGTTGTACGGGTTTCGTCTTTTTTTTTCAAGATAGTGACCAGAAACATCGCCGGTTTTTCACCAACATTTCCGTGAGGGAGTGGATTAAACAATTGAATTCTAGATTAGATTGATCAACAACATAGGCTGTTCACAGTCCCCTATTCTTCCGTGAGATCTTCGAGATCGGGCACTCACCGTCACTGAAAGCCAGTTTTTTAATTGGTTTCCATCGTACCCAGGGGTAGGCGTCGGGGTTTATAGCTGTGGGAAAAGGAAGTCGCTACTTTCACATTCCCATAATACATCTTGTTTAGCCGCCAAAAGTTTTGCATAAGCATTGTTTCCAATTTCTCTTGGGATTTACAATCCTCCCAAGAGGACTTAAAAATAATACTTATGCAAAATTTTGGGGGTATACTAGGTGTATTATGGGAATGTGAAAGTAGTGAAGGCGTGAAAACCCAAACCGTCCTCCGTCCCCTAAGTAGATGAAATACTAGTCATCTTCAAACTAGACTCGGTCAAGATGGCCGCCTGTAGCACTCGTACTCGACGACCTTACGGAAAAATAAGGTGACTGTGAACAGTCTATGAACAACACTAAAGTCTCCTTTGTTTCATCGGTAGGAGAAAATGCGTCATCTTCTCCGTGTATCTGGAGTATCATCAATTATTTACTGGCTTCACTTTTTCCTTTTTGATGCCGTTGTCTTCCTGATTCCATGCATCCTTATGCTGATACTGATCCCCGCCTTCCAGCTTCCTTCGTTATCTCCTGCACCTGCCATGGGCAGCCTGGTGTTGTGTATATTACTCTACTTCCCTTCCGGAATCCTGTTCTCCTATCTCTGTTCCTTCATGTTTGGCAAATGGGAAACTGCACAACAGATAATGCCACAACTATTTCTTTATGTAAGTAAAACTAATCTCATCAAGGTGTTTATAGTTTTGAATTTGTGTGTTGGTGTGCGAGGTTGTGAAGCCTTTTTAACTGCGCTACTTCTCGTGTGATCAATCTTGGTAAATAAGCCGATACAGGTTGAGAGTTTTATTAGCATGGCACACTCCTCTACAAATAGCATGCGTGGCAGTAGCCTGTGTACAGTCCTCCCCTCCCCTCAGTAAAAGTCGGAGAAGGGGCCCCTTCTCCGATTTTTACTGAGGGGAGGGGGGTCTGTATACAGGCTAGCGTGGCAGGCGCCGATTAGTTTTCTTGGCTAGTTTTTATCGAGCACGCGAGGGGAACACGCGAGGGGAAACAAGAGGGCCCGTCTCTTTTCCTCTCCTTTCGCCCGAAAAAAAACGGTTACACAGGCTACTCTACAAAATATGCACAAGAATTTCAGTGTAACTGCTTGTGAAATTTATTTTTTCTAGGGAGGACTTGTTCCATGGCTGACAGTTGCACTGATAGACATGATATCAAGTCGAGACGTAGCTATCATTCTTCATAGTATCTTTGTATTTCTGTTGCCTCCTTATCCAGTCTTTGGAGCATTGTATTATATTGATGCTGTAAGTATAGACCCGTCTGTTTAAGTGTTGTAGTCTCTCTTTGGGTAGTCTTTTTTCATAGCCGAATAAGTGGAGCTAACGAAACGCATGAGCGCGTGGAAATTCGCCTCTCGCTCGCCGCGAGGTCTTCTCGGGACAGACGATGTTCTACACGCTTGCGTGCTTTGTTCTTCTATGTTTTTGTATTTGTATTTTGAACAGTGGGTCACGCTAGTGACTACTTTATTGACTAGCAACAGGCAACGCCTTCACCCCAAGAAAAAAAATTTTCTACATGTATTTTATGTAATTGCCCGGCCACTTTAGCCATACCGCTAAGAAACTGACTGTTTTAATATTTTTATGTTTCAATTTTTTCACTTAGAAGAAAGAACTTAGAATTGAGTATGTGCTGTGCTCTGTTGGCAAAGGCAATACAAAAAACATTAGAGAGAAAAACTGGCTGTTGGGCATGTAGAACATTGGTGGTTTATTAAGTTCTGAATATCCATTGTAAATATCAGTACAAATTTTGGTTAAAAACGGTATTGCCTGCGAAGGTGAGGGCAATCAAACCGCTGCAATGCTAATCACCGTGAGATCAAGGAAGAGGCAGGAGTTGAGGAAAAAGTTTTGAATCAATAAGATCAAGAACTCAACATCCACTATACGACGACTGTGAGCATTAGTAGTGTACGTCATCTCCGTCTCAAATTTCATGACAATGTCCTTGATTCCATGCTCCAAACCTCCTTGCATTATGGTAAAGTAAAGTAAGTGGTTCAAATGTCGCATACAATTTTATTTGCAAGCAAGTATTTTATTTATTTATTTTTAGGCCTACAGATGGCAATCCATTTTGGCAGCCTATGAAAACAGGGGTAACGTAGTAGACGTACACATGACCGCAAGCCATTACTTTAAGTGGACAAAACACAACGGCATCCCAATAGCAATGATTGCTGTAAGTATATGGGGGAACTATGTGATATTTTATTTCGTTATCTGTAGTGCTTTTCTCATCATGTTCGGTGCTTGTACCATCCATACTCGTTATTGTGGGTGCAATATTTGATACAAGGGTTCTTAGACTTCTTTTTGCCTTCATTGGCTAAGCGTTTTTTTTGTTTTGTTTATTATTTTGCTTTCTTTTTCTTCAGCCTGTTGTCCATATAATTCTGTTTTCCTTGCTGATTTACTACTTGGATCAACGTAATATTGGTGTTGAAACCAAGTGCTTCTGTAAGCGCAGGTAACAGTTATTACCTTCTCCCTTTCGAAAGTAATTAATACCCTGATTAAAATATAACAAACGTGTAAGAATTAGTTATGGGAAATACTGATTAAGAAGGAACAAATTTATTTTCTTTAACTAGAGGTTTCAGCATTAACTTGGAAAGAGGCGAAGGCATTTTAAAATCTCTTTCAAAATGAGGCAAAGTGCAAACCTTTTTTTTAAAACTCCATATGAAAAACGGGGATGCTCGTCGTCTCGCTTAGGGGTGTAAAATTTTGGTCTCCTTAGGGTTTTGTCAATTTTAGGCGCCAAATGCAAGGTCTCGTTTTTCATAGCGAAGGTCACAGAATTACGCGAAGAGAAACAGAAGTCAATTTTCTTTTTAACTTTGTTTGTTATGTCTTTATTTTAAAACTCAAATGTCGTATTTGTGTGTTTTTAAGCGGTCTTTTTGGGTCAAAATTTGCAGCCAGTGCGATTGGTCTCCTTTAGGGGTCACAAAACGAGGCACAGATGGGTTAGGGGTTAAATTCAAAATTTCCGACGAGCATCCCCGTCTGTTTCGACAGTACCGCCGGGCCTTTTTGTCAAAATGGTTTTTTAAAACACTTAAACGTTTTAAAGTAAAGGTTTGGGGCTTGTTGGGCCAATTGCATCAGTGCGACTGACTTGAAAACGAGGTTATATGGTTTATTGATTAATACATTACCCCATTTTCGACAGTACCTCTCCTTGGTTTTAAAAACACTAAACGCAGACTAATTTCTTTTACGGCAACTAAGAAACCGAATTTGATGAAAGGTAATCTGCTTCTTTCTTTCTTTCTTTCTTTCTTTCTTTCTTTCCAGTCGGTAGTTTTCTCCTAAGCTAATTGTCCTGTTTTTGTAAAATCTATTTATCGTAGTAGGGTGATATGCGGTACTGCTGAACCAAAGTAAACCTAAGCGTGTTACATTGCTGTAATTTTATGGTTTGTCCCTTTGTAGTTGATCTTCCCTGTGTTGTAACCATCGATCCTGTTAAATCTCCGCGGAAGTACTTTCAAATAGTGCTGTTTGTTGTTTTCCGCTTTAAAGCAGGTGACTTTAGAGACTATTCCGAATCAGTTCTGCGATGCGGTTGTTAGTATGCTAGGAAGGAGCGTTGGGTAACGACACAAAGAGCGCCTGTGTAGCAGACTATGCGGGTGTATGCTTATCTGTGTTTATTGTGGTATTTTCCTTAGCAGCAACCAAAACACCGTTGATCGATTTCCCAGCTACAAGCGATATGACAGTGTTGTAGAGACAGAGGCCCAGGATGAGGATGTTAAAAGAGAAAAAGAAAGGCTAATGCACATTACCAGCAGCTCCAGTGAATGTTCTTCTTTCTCTGTTTTCGTTAAGGTAAGAGCAGCGTAGTACGTGAATAGTTTGACAGGATTGTCCAGCTTGAAATCACGCTGTTTCTTTGTTGTGTTCTTGTTGTTTTTTCGGTTCTGTCGGTTTTTATTTATTTATTTGTTTGTTATTTAATTTAAAGCTGTTTGCAACCAAATGTCGTTAAACGTTCGTGAAAGAAAAACCAAAGCGGACTTACTCTAGCCGATCAAATCACACGCAGACACCCAGATTATCCTGAGTGCCAGGTTCTTTTTCTTTCCTGGTAATTTTCGGCGAAGTGTCGAGAGAATAAAAACCCTGGTCACTGGAGATACCAGTCTCATTGCCATGTAATTTTTTGATCATACGTCTCACCAAACCGGTTTTGGAGCTGATGTGCATGTTTGTTTTCATTGAATCTGAGATCAAGTGTGGTCGAACGTGGCTCTGTGTCTAGCCTGCGTGGCAAGCGTTTCCTCGCGAGGTTCGTCGAGAAAGCTAACCCTAACCCTAACCCTCCCCCTTCAACCTTTTTTTTTGCTTCCGCTCTAACTTTCGCGCAATAACTCGATTGGAAACGCTTGCTACGCAGGCTACTCTGTGTCTGCGATGCATGAAAGTTGAATGGGACAATTTTATTGTGAAATCATTTTACTACAGCTATGAATTCTGGATGTCGTCATCGTGAAAATGACCTAGTGCGCGAGATTCCGTTGAGTGTTAACATCTTCGTAAAACGTGAAATTAGGAAATTTTACTCCGTAGTCGTACAGGGACGGCAAAATTTTCCAAAAAGTGTGATGCATCTGCAGCGTTCTTGATTTGTTGTTGTTGTTAAGGAGCGTACGCAACTACGACGGCAACGCCAAAAAAGTAATAGGTCTTTTTTAGCAAAAAACAATGTTGCACGTGAGCTCGCTTTTTTGTACATTTATTTACCGTCACTGCACGACCACGATGTGAACTTTCCAAATTTCACGTTTTATAGCGGACCTAAACACAAGGCAACAATTGTCTTTTTCCTTTTCTTAACTTGGATGCGGTCCTTAAGAATTCAACTTCAGACAAATTCGACTAACTTTGACAAATTGAACCAAACGGAATAAAAGCGATGAAGTTTGAAACAGTGGGAATTGACCTTTTAGATGAAGTTTTCGCTGCTGTCGCGATTGCGTAAGCTCCCTGTTGTCTCTTGTTGCCGTCATGCTTTCGTAAGCTTCTATTCTTCAAATCCTTGGAAGAAGTGTAAGGTTTATGTATCCTTGGTTTATTTCACGTTAGAAGTCTAATACATTTTCTTCTAACTTAGGGGTTGTGGAAAAGGTTTGGCTCCGGTAAAACTGCTAAAACTGTTGTCAAAGATCTCTATTTTGGCGTGGAGCAAGGTGAAGTTTTCGGACTTCTTGGGCCAAACGGTGCAGGCAAGACAACTTCACTCAGCATGATTACAGCGGATTTCCCACCGACAAGAGGGAAGGTACGGTGATATGTGTAAAGGAAAGACTTCATGTAAACAGGTGGAGCTCTCCAGGGATGTAATTTCGGTCCCAGTCCCTCCCTGACCTGCATAGTTCTTTATATCATGCTCAGTATTCTTGGTTTGCAACCGCGTGACAAGGCGGCCATGTTGGGGGTCCAAACAAAAGAATTTTTTCTCGAAGAATTTACGTGAAAATAGAGTTTAGCTCCCAGAGGAGGGAAATGCTTTTGTTCTTGACTACCAACATGGCCGCCATGACGTCAAGTGCAAACCAGCAATTATCTTACAACTGCTAATTAAAATCAGTACGACCAAGGCCAAACTTCGAGCTTTCCATGAGACGAACCAATGTGGGCGGGTAAAGTTCATAACAAGTTCGACGTCCGGCTTAATGAAATTCGTTTGGATCGTCCAACACGTTCTGTATGATGTTTGATGGGTTCGACGCTTCATTAATTCGACGTCTGACCCAACAGACTGACATAACTTAATTAAGGTCGACCCAAATTACAATTTGGTTCGTTTCATGAAACGTTCGACGTTTTGTGTCCGCCTGTGTTAATCAAGAATGGATACACACTCTATACTGATAGGGGAGGGGAGGGGGTAGGGAAACTGACCCGTGTCCACAACTGTCTCATTTGTGGAATTCCACGTAGGGTTCGTTGATACGGGCAAGGATGAAGTTAATGTAAATATGTTTTCGTTTTTTCTCTTTTTTTTTTTTTAAGATTTCGAGTCTTTAACGTTGAAAGCGCTTTTCGGCTTAAAAATCAGTGATATTTTGCCCGAACCGGATTTTTGAATGAAAGTCACTAACACGTCCGCATTATCTGTTGCTACGTAGACCATGTAGACTAGCATATTGATAGAGTATCAAAAAATTGATTATTTGAAGTTCTTTGCTTCGGAAGCAACTCTGCAATGGACGTGCTTCCCATCAGAATTTGAGTTGTTTCTGTGGGCGTGTGGGTAGCCTGCAGCTCTTGTGTGATTTTATTGACTCGTTTCCATGTTCAGGTGTATGTAGCTGGTTATGACGTCAGCAAGAATCCATTGGAGGCTTTTCAGTGTATGGGTTACTGCCCTCAGAAAGATGCACTTTGGCCTACTGTAACTTTAGAGGAGCATCTCACACTGTTTGCCAGGATTCGCGGAGTACCCTGGGATGAAGTGAAGACACTTGTTAGCCAGTGAGTATGCTTGAGTAAAATCAAAGCAAGCGTTTTGTACCTTAGTAAGCAGTTGATCTAAATTTTGCGAACGATAATATGGCCAAATCTTTTGCAGTAGACCATGCGTTTGTATGTTAGAAATTGTTTTTCTTCAAACAGAGGATTTTCTGACGGAGCTTAATTCTTCCTCATGTGCCTGCAGAAATCTTTTTGCGCCTTTAAACTCTTATCCGTTAAAGCAAGAAACTTTCGAGAGCGCTAGCCTTTCGTTAGTTTCTGAAGCATTATACCCCAACACTCAAGTAAAGTTCACTCATTCTTGTGCTTATATTGACACTTTCGTTAGTTATATGTCTGCTTTGAGGATCACTGAACACGCCAAGAAGAAAGCGCAAGATCTTTCAGGTGGAACGAAAAGAAAGGTAGTTAGCTATCGCACGTTTTCCTTTGAATTTCTTTAAGAAATAGTCACGTTATGTTTTTGATTTATTTCGGAGACGGTTTACTTATATCTTATATATCGCATAATCCTATTCAAATTGCAGCAAATTGCTGCTACAAAACTTTACTTTACATCGCTCGATCATTTCAAAACATGATTCCGCAAATGAAAAGAGCAAATATAACTGCTTGACTGACGAAGATATAAAGCAGAAACGTGTGTTAAAAGTCATTAAAAAAATAGATGATTCTCTCTGTTTGGAGATCGAATGAAAAACTCGATCTCAATCCGGCATTTTATTCACTACTAAACGGAAAAGTTATGAGGTTCTTGTAAATGAACTTCCGCTTTCCAGTCGTCTGCATCATCGAACCTCGTTGTTGTAAAGGCTTCCCTCGAGAGAGGGTCGCCGCATGGCAGGATGCAAACTCACTTCCTTTTTCATCGACGACTCTGTTACACTCCTCCTTTTTTGATTCATTTTTGTAGGTCAGTTTTGGAAATGCAATGCTTGGAGACCCTCAACTTCTGTTACTGGATGAGCCATCGTCAGGCATGGATCCTTCTGCAAGGCGCTTCTTGTGGTAAGAAACAAGTTTTATTTACACCCTAAATGTCCGAAATGTTATTTATAGTATTTCCCTAAATTAAATAAGTGCTAGAGTACCTGAACAATTTTTTTTTAATTTAAAATATATGTCGTGTTTCCTTGACATTGTTGCATTAGCTTTATCGAGTTACGGAGGCGTGGTGTCCGAGCCACTCGGAATTCGGATCAGTAGGTGTGTGTTTAAGTATTGCTGTGGCGTTGAGTTTCCTTCGATATTAAGGAAGATTGCCCCCCTTTATCTCCTTTCACCCAGGTATACCAGTGGCGGATCCAGGGAGGGGCCTGGGGGGGGTCGGGCCCCACCCTTATTTTTGGACCAAACTGAGGCCCGAAGAACCGAAAAAATTTTTTTGAGACCCCCCCCCTTATCTAAGGGTCTGTATGACCGGCCCCCTCGTCCCCCTTATCTCAAGGTCTGGATCCGGCATTGTATACTGGCTAAAGGCGACACACTGCTGGGGTAACCATTGCTCATGCGCCCCTTTACCTACCTTTACATTTATCTATTTATGAGAACCAACCACTATCTTAGTAAACTTCAGTTGGGAGACTTAATATCATGTTTCGTCTGTGAACAAAATTCTTTTGTTTGACAATTCAAATGCCGACATTTCTTCAGTAGAGTTCTACACGCTTAGATTCTAGGTATTCGCCCAGGTCGCCTCGATGCTTCGATTGTTGGTGACGACTGGGGGGAGTTCGAGATGATCAAGATAATTTTATACAAACTATTGCAATCGTATCAGTTGTCCGGATTGCCCCGCTTCGCATCAGAGGTGTTTGTATATGATCATCTTGATCGCCCTGAATGATAATGATGATGACCACCATCACCACCATTGTTGTTTCAGGGGCACCCAACGACGGTTCCCTCCTAAATGCACTGAAAACACTTTTTAGCCTATCCAGAATACTTTTAGATCTCTAGAAAAGCATTCTAAACGGCACCGTAAACTTTGTATCTGTTCGGTCATCCTAGGGGAACATGAGCCTTTTCGAAATTTCAAGGCCTTGAGTACTATTTTCCCAACATTTTCTAACTCCTCTCTCCATCACATTTTTGAATCCGAAAATTTTAGGTTTCCTTTTTTCTGCGAAAAATAGCCTAACTTGGGAAATAAAATGCTAAAACTAAACTTCAGAAAATCGTAGGGAAGATAGTAGATAAGATTCGAAAATTGTACATGACTGTAACGGTCATCTAGACATTTTTAGCCGTCCTCAAGTAATAGAAAACTCTAGGCAATATTTGCTTCTCCGATCCGAACAGATATTTTACAGAAAACAGTCGTTGGGTGCCCCTGTCGTTTCTTACATTTTCCCCCTTTTCACGATCAGGAACACAATCAGTAAGAATGTGCAAGGAACACGCGGAGCCATTCTCACCACCCACTCAATGGAGGAAGCGGATGCTTTGTGTTCACGTGTTGGTATCATGGTCAAAGGTCGACTCAAGTGAGTCTGCAATATAAAGTGACTCTTTGTTACTTAGTCCTTAGTTGTTCGATGGATACCTTATGATTGGTTGAGTAACTCGCGCCACTCTCTCAACCAATTAGAAGTAAACCTAAACCGATTGTGTGTTACCCACTGTATTTTTCCCGCGCTTTACGTTGGCTACGTCGGTGTTAGCATCAACTTGTGATTTGTTTATTAGAGGCAATTGTCTGCGTTATGATAGCCGGCGTAATAACTTCGGGTTTGGTATTACAACACTCCGGCCTCAGTTGCCTTCTCGTCTTACTCGGCATTAAACGCTGGGGACAACATTCATAACAAAAATAGTCTGCTTTGATTTCTCTTCTTCGACCCCAAACGTAAGACATAAGCCAATTCTTTGCTCGAACTCTATGAAGTACACCAGTACAATGATAATCTTTTTCCTTCTGAAGATGTCTTGGTTCAACGCAACATTTAAAAAGTACTTATGGCAGCGGTTATACCCTGGAAATTAAGCTCAAGCAAACACAGTCACCTGAACCTTCCACAGAAGACCCAATGGAACTGTTACACAGCTTTGTTTCAGAGTTGCTGCCAGGTGCTACGCGGTCTGAAATTTTCGGGGGAAGAGTGGTATACAAGGTTCCAAAAGAAGGTGTTGGTGTGTTGTCAATCATCTTTCACAAGCTGGAGAAAGGTATGATGTTTACTAAAACAGTCTTAATTTGTGACCCTAAGCCATAGCGTGCTACTCAAGTTACCGGAAGGTAGTCATGTGATTATTTGATACTTGTTATTGCAGGCAAGGAGGAGATAGGGATAGAAGAATACAGCTTCAGTCAGTCGACACTTGAACAGGTATTGTCTAGTTTTCATGTTTTTTTTTTTCATGAGCTTGTGCTAGGCTCTCAGATCTCAGGCCACTTAAGGGATGACTACCTAATTAAATATGCATATTTTAGTAAATGCTATTTAGAACGGTTTGCTCCCATCAGTGCTCCTGAAAAGTGAACTACAAATGTGGCTCAACGAAAAAAACACGTGAAACGTGATTTCGAATAACACGTGACATCGCTTTCTCAATGACGTCACAAAATACATTTTCTTAAATGGGGAAGGGTTGCAAACCTTAATCTTAGGAATTTTCACCACCAAAATGTTACATAACCAGTGTAAATCGTAAATTCACCTTGTATGATTGGAAATGTTATTTATCCTATTAGCTATTTAACTAATTAATTAGTCACGTGACCCTTTTCCCTTTATTTACCGATTCCTATATAACGTAAACACACATACAAGGCGAATTTATAAGAACCTTTTTAATAGCCTCTGAAATGTACTTAAAAGAACTTGTTGCTCTTTCATTATCCTTTCCCCATTTTAGAGTAAATATTTTGACCCTTAATTCTCAATTATCAGTCACGTGACGAAAATTTGAGCTTCTCAAATGCACTCATATTGCTAAGGCCATTAAGCTACATTTGTAGTTCAATTTACGGGATCATTGATAGAAGCAAACCGTGCTAAATGGCATTTTATCAAAATATGCATATTTAATCAGATAGTCATGCCTTCAGTGGGTTGAGGATGGTAGGGACGTCGCGAAAATATAACAAGCCAAGCGAGAATAACACCTGCAAGATCTGGGGAAGGGAACGGTCTCTCTCCCCATCCCCCGCGCGTTTTTCGCATAACTTTTTACTTCACGACCAACTACTATCTTGGAACCTGCATAGGGGTATCTAGACACCGAAAAATGCGCTGCCGATAAAACGAGGCGCAGAAGTCGATTTTATTATTATTATAATTAATTTTGTATGAGAGTTTACTGAATATCTGATGGAACTAGTGTTTGACAGTTTGTCAAACGAGCTGTAACTCTTCAAAGAAATTCAAAGCTAAATTTTCCCAAACTCTCACGTTGATTATTTAACAATTATCCCACGAGTACGCGTTGGATATGGGTAAGTTGGCTATAATGAATCATATAATAATAATATAATAATAATAATAATAATAATAATAATAATAATAATAATAATAATAATAATATTTAATATTTATATAGCGCAAATTAAGATACAGGAGGATATGATCAAATGCCCTGTACAGTTAAAATTGAATCCAAAATTACTGTTACCTATTTACAATTTTGAATTTACAAGAAAATGCGAAGAATTATACTATGTGAAACACTAAAAAGAAATTATAAATTACACGCTTCTCTAAAATAGTGAGTTTTAAGCAGTGACTTAAAGGTGTTAAAATACACATATCATATCCAACAAGCTTGAGTGGAATAATTGTTTCATTAAAAACGCCCACAAAATATCGAGAATTCATCACGACTTTATTTGTAAAAAGAACCGATTTTCTGCTTGTTTTTAATTTTAAGCAGACGCGTCAAGTTACCATATTTGAAGAGCATGGTATAATCGCTCCTAAACCATTAGGGCCAAACCAATCAGAGCTCTAGAATTGCATTATCCAATCACGGATTCAGTTTTTAATAATATCCAATATCAAAACAACCTTCATGATAAAGATTTCCATGCACAGTTTGCCAGTGTGTTAGTTAAAAACGCGGCAAAAGAATAAAGTGAATTAATTGAGGTTGTCTTTCAGGTTTTTCTTGAGTTTGCCCGAGAGCAAGACGACGATCGAACGGGAGCTCAAGACAAAACAGAGGACGACGAAATCCAGAATGGGGAGGCTCACGTATCAGTTTAGTAACATGTATCAAATTATAAAATCGTATTCGTAATAAAAACAAAACTATTATTTTAAGTTAATATACAAAGAGACGAATCCTTGCTTGCATTTTTTCTTATTGACATAGGCTTATCATTATATGAATATGCCAATAAAAAAAAAATTCTGAATATTTAAAGAGCATAATAATTCTAGTTATTTCTGAAAATTTGAACCCGACATATGATATACCATATAGTTAAAGAGAAATTCTCTTTGAAAAACCCCAAACTTTACAAAGAATATATTTGCTTATTAACGTTTTTGCCAGCGGTCAAATATATTACCTCTTCGGTCGAAGAATATTTTGATTTTCTTATTAGGGTGCGTACCTAAAGACATAAGTGGCCGGCAGGATCGGTCATTTTGAAAACAAAATAGCCTCAATTTTCAAGAGTTTTTGCTTAAACATCATCATGCATATTATTGAGGAATAAATTGATGTTGTTGGACAGTTTGGAATTTTCTCTATACCTGGACTAGCCTATAGCCGGCCAGTAAGTTCTGACTAATTTTGAGCAAGTGAATGCTTTACCTAAGTGAGAGAAGACACTACTTCTAAAGTTTTGCGTAAACTTCCTCTGCTCTTTATTTTGCCAAAGTATCATCAGTATTATACAGTCTCATGTGAACGTGACCGCCGATTCACGTGCTTCAAGAAGGCAGTGGGTCCTTCGTTCTCGGCAGTCATGAAGTATTAATTTTTTTTGAACGCTTATTGTGACCAATGATATTCTAGAGATGGTATAAACAGTTTCTAAGGTATTCTTGAAGACAAACACGTGTGAATAGAATGTAACTTTTTCACGTTTGCAAACTCGCCTTCTGTTATGGCACAGTGAGTTTGATGTATTAGGACATATTAGTGAACGACCGATCATTCATTTATTTTTATAATCAGTTGAAGTGGTCAAATGAGCTACATTTGCAAGCAAGCTAGAAACAAAGGCTGTGATCGTAAAGAAATTCTAATAACAAGTTTTATGTAGGGATATGTATGTATGTAAAAACTTTGTTACAACTCTGTTTAAGGGTTGCTCTAGTGCTCAATATCTACCACCATACAGAAGTTCTCTGTTGCTTCATTATTAAAGTAATTTGTCTTTTAACATCAAAGTACGTTTGTTCTATTGTAGTAGCGGCATTTCGCCTCCTGTGAACAGACGTTATCTATAATATCCGGCTTTTAACGATGATTACGTAATGGCTCTTGAAATTCGTTGCTCGACTAAAAGGCCTCAGGAAAAAAAACTTCAGAAAACACGACGAGGTTGCAATTACTCATCCTTTGTTATGCTTATTCTCAAAGTCTTTAATGTTACCTTGATATTGTAACGGTTTTATATCTATACACTCAAACCTCCTTATACGAACACGAAAAGGTCAAAGCCAAGTCTAGGCCGGAACACAGAGGTGTCTGTATAAAGAGAGCTGAGTACACCAGAGGGGTATCAAAATAATCACGGATAAAGGTCTGCGTATAAAGAAAAGGTTCGACACTGAGTGCCTTCTTGACGCTTGGCTTAACAAGCACTCGTTAATAGCAAAAAGTAATTAACTTCTATACCGAAAGGATTACATGCAACAAAGAGTTTACAATTAGTTGGCCATAGGAAAAAAATAAAAACACAATTTTATCGTTTTTTGAAAGCCATTTTTGAACAAAAGAGGACGCATCCTACAGCTTGTGTTGTGATTTGATTGATACCATTTAATACAACCTTCTCATTCACATAAATATATAACAATACATCTTCATAAAAAAAAGGTGTGAAGCGATTGAGGGTGACTAATTTTCTTCCAATGGGTCCTTTCACAGGGCGTAGCTTTGTACAAATTCACGCTACTCAAGGGTTGAATAAAAAAGGGTTAGACACTTGACGATAACAGCCCTCCCGCAGCGGGTAGCAACGTGATAACAGGAGCGTCCAGGTGGAACGAACAATGTATTGAATATGGAATAAGGCCCACGCACTCGAAAGGTTTATTTGAAGAAGGATCTGTTAGTCAACGTCAATTAAACTAAGAATATTGAACGTGCCAGACGTCAACATAGACAGGTTTAGTTGGCACTTAATCGGAAAATCATGGCGGCTGTACCAAGAGAGAGCTTACAAGTGGAACCGGCCGTAAAGGCAAGAGCAGCTAACAGAGATCTAAACCAAAAGAACAATCGCGCAGCGCACAACTGGCTTAAGGTGCGGAAGGCTCTAGAAAGAGAAAAGGCAGATTGGAGGAAAGGTGCCGTAGATGATCGAAACAAGTTGTTGAAGCAACGCGAAGAGCTGCGAAATACCTCGCTGAATTTGACGAGATCAGACTCTTTGAATTCTGAACAAGCAGCTGCTGTTGTTCCATCCGGGGTGAGGCGTCAGATGTCCCTGAAAGATGTTTACGAGGCTCTGCTTAAATCGAATCGCGAAAAAGACGATGCTAGCTCTGTAAGGAGTGTTAAATCAGAACCCTCTTTGAGGAGGGCCTCGACAGTCAGCTTCGAACAGAAGCGAATCGGACGAAAACCAATTAACTTTTCTCTGCAAGGCTTACAAAAGGCAAACAGCAACCTGCAAAGTAAACTGCAGGCAAATGATAAAGCACAACGATTGTCGGTTGACGACAAATCTGACCACAATACAAGGCCACAATCAGGTCCGCCAGAAAGTCACTTTGATTTGAACGAGGAGGAACTCAGTTTAGGCCCAACGCTTAAACTGCCGCCAAACCATCTACCGCCTATAAGACGGAGCGTGGGTTTTAAGCCAAGGGTCAGAAACTTCAACAAGGATGAAGCTTTTAAAGCGCGGGTGCATGGTACAGAATACACACTTGACGATATCCGCTACTGTCGCTACTTAAGAAAGAGATCGGGACGCACGCGATCGGATCCGACTGATGCGAAAAAAATCTCGCACTTTCAACGAAAGTCCTCCGACCAAGAGAGATGAGTCAAAAGAATTTCGTTCCTGATATTTTTTTTTTGGGGTTTGTATCTAGGAAATGGTATAAGGAACAATTACAAATACAGTCGAAAAAGCGCTTTTCAAATTGTAGAAAATTATTCTCGTGAAGAGTGCGACTTCTTCATTTAATTTGCATTTTGTGCGATTAAAAGTCACAAGGATCGTAACCAAAATGTTTTCGTTGCGTTCTTTTCAGTTACGTTCTACTTCAGAGTTAGAAAAAGCAAGAAAAAGAACGAAAATTATCGTTACGAGGATACATTCAAATTAAGAACAAAAACGACGTCAAAGGAAAAGAAAGAAATATGGCAAATGTGTTTAATACCATGCGCTTATCTAACAGCGACATCATATAATATAAAATGGTAATTGGTCCCCAAAACAACGTAAACAGGCTTTTAAGGAAAAGAGGAATATGCATGCAGCCCTCTAAAAAAGGTAGACCTTGTAAAGACGAAATGAAAAAAAGAAAAACGAAAAATTGAATTGAAGAGTTTTGTACATGTAGATATTGGAGCACGTTCATTTGCATTTAATATAGCCACACTGCACGCGTCTTAGACACTGAAGGATATCCTAAGGCGATATAAGGTCTTCACTTAATGTTAATTAAAAAGACAAGATTAAATTTATGAACCCTGTCTTTTAACAATTTACTGATAGATTCTAAACTGCATCCATTCAGCTGGGTCTCTCAGAAGGCAATTATAAATATCCAGCACTGAGCTGAGAGAAAAAAATTCCTGCTGATAATGAGGTTTTCCTGTTGTTTTGAATATTTTTCCCGATGGGAGAGTAGATAATCAAAACAGCTTATAATTGAATCAGATGACGTCGAAGGTGTAATAACACGACAAAGCATGTTTCAAGACTGATGCCTCTTAATGCATTATTTACATTGCTTTTTTAAGTGTTTAAGGTCGTTGGTTATGACACATTGGGGGTTTCCCTTAATGTTTAATTTGGCCTAAAACTTGGCCTCGAAGAAGGCTCACGTAATTATTTCGGTTTTGTTTTTAATAGTTCAGATGTCATCAAGCTGTCCCGCTAGCGTATTTATTAACGTCATTTTTATAACTTCAACACACAGTCTAATTCGTCTCCCGACTTTAGTTATAATTTATCTTGTTTTCCTAAACAGTCTCGCTTTTGAATTCGAAAGGTTTGTTTGTAAACGCGGATCAGTACAAGACTCTCGAAAACTACCCACCTACTCCTCCCCTAACCCAACGTTAACAGTAGCTTCTCGCGTAGGAGAAATTCTTGGGTTAGGGGAGGGGAAGGTGGACATACTGGTCCAACAGGGTAAGTTCGCAAAGGGATAAATATGGGTTGTTCTTGAGTGGAAAGCGGTGAACGCATGAGTTTGTGAGTGTTGCCCAGCCTAGTCCCTAGGCGTTCTCTCTTGACCCGTTGTCCGCGAGAAGTCTGGGAACGAGCGGGCTAGTATCTCTCGGTGACGTTTACTAAGAAATGCCAAGAGGGCAAGCTTTGTCCACTGGCATGCATTTAAGAATATTGGTGAATTGGGCTCCCATATTTCCCAGAGTTTGCAATGGATTTTTATCAAACTGCCAGTTTCACTAGACTCAGTATTAATAATCGATCTAACTAGCCATAATTTTGTTTTAATCACAAAAACATTAAAAATTGCAATATTGCGTGACATCGGTAAAAGGGAAGGTGTTAAGCCGTGTGCAAACGGACGCAACATTGTTGGATGTTACATGTTGTTGCGTGTTTTGGGGAGTTGTTGCGCAGAGTTTGAAACTGGTCAAACGTTTGAGCCAACTATTCCCAACATTTCTTTTGTTCCGTGATCGCCGAATCGTAGCGCAACAACGTTGGATCCGTTTGCACAGCTCTTCCAATATTGGTGGGGCCACGCACGCGCATTACACATGGTCTGGAGAGTCTTATGGGTTGTATCCTTCCTACGATGCACTGCAGGTCCCAACATTGTTGGACCAACAATGTTGGGAGTTGTTGCGTTCGTTTGCACGTAGCTTAAGCCCTCTGATAGCGTTTTGTACTAAATAGGATAGAAGACGAGCGTTTGTTTAAAAAAAAACCTTTAACTGCAGCACGACATCACACCTTGAATTTTTTTAAAGACCTTTACTTTACACCGCATGATAAATTTCAACATTGAGTGAGTTGATCTCATGATCACATCTTTCGTTAGTTACTGATTGTATTTTTGTACATATGGAACTCCATGCACTCTAAATCTGTACAAACACGTGTATGAAGGGTTGCCATAGTTCGAGTGCACTCTAAGTTCAACGAATCGAAAATATGGCACTGGTGAAACCTGAAAGTAAACACAACGAAAATTAAGAATGTTATGTTCTAACTGTCCTTTAGTCCGCACGGCCATTTCTCATCTCTCCCACCCGCTACGGGAACTACAAAGTGACAGGGAGCGGTAAAGGACGACTGTTTTCGCGGGGTCCTAGCCGCGTTGCACTTTTTTCCGTTTTCCGGAAGATGCACGCGAAACGCGCAAAGGTATATAGTAAAAAGGAGCGCCTAATTTTTTCCCTCCATAACCCCCAATGCTCTCGTGCGTTTCTCCTGCTTGGCTAAAACGAAACAAAAACGACTGCTGCCACACAGGCTGGCGGGTTCCTAAATTAACTACCCCTCATTTAAGCTTTATCTTTTTTTTATTTGTTTTATACAGTTTCCACTTTAAGGGCTGAAAGAAGGCAATCATTAGACTTCCAGATTTTTCTAATATGTAAATTTTAAATGGCTCGTTGTAGATCGTTTTCACTCACGTGGTCATCATCTATGCAAAGTTCTTGGAACAAAAGAACATTTTTGCGGGAGAAATGGGTTCAACTCCTACAGGTTCGTGGCCGTCGTTTCATTGTTTTGGTAGATCAACATGGCTGCCGTGACGTTGTTTAAAAACGAATTTTGACCCAGTTTCCCGCGCAACTTCGTAACAACCGTTGAAAAAAGAGATAGCGTCCCCAAAACAGTCCCATAGTGCAATTCGACAAAGCATCAATCCAGTCTCTTCGCAATCACGAAAGGGCCAATTCGCCACTTCTACATTTCCCATAACGCACCTTATTTGCCCCCCCCAAATTTTGCATCAGCATTGTTTTCAATCTCTCTTAGGACGGCTGTAATACCCAGGAGAAATGAAAAACAAAGGTTATGTAAAATTTTCGGGGGCAGATAAGGTGCATTATGGGAAATGTGGAAGTGGCGTATAGCCTTACTGACGATTTTCACAATAAACACTTACAATGTTCAGATATCAGGGGTTACTCAATTGAAAATGGCTCAGTACGCCGATTCGTGGCACAAAATGTAAATGTAGAAATGCTTTTTTTAAAGTGGGAGTGCTCTTTGCGCCTCCTGCTAGTCCTGTCAAATTGTAGCGAACCGGTTGGCTATTTACAAGCGTAGCCGAGGAAATGCACTCCGTGCAAGCCTCCTGCCCAGATGTTCTTTTGGCTCGTCACGCAATCCTCCCCAACGTGGGGCAGGAACGCGTGACGAATCCCTAAGAACGTTAATGGTAAGAGAGCGGAACTGGAACCCAGGGCCTCTGGATTGCGAGTCCCACGCTCTGAGCATTCGGTCACTTCAGCCGAACCCTCACCTGCACTGAAAAGGTTTGAAGAGCAGTTGCCTTATTATCGTAAACATATTCTCCAAGTTTTGTTCTATCTTTTCCATGAGCGTCGCTCCAGCCCTATAAAGTGATAAAAAAGCTGTTGAACAATAAAGGCTATCAATTTAATTGAGGTTACTTGTTACCAAAGGTCAAACGGCAAGAAACTTAATGAAACTTTTGCCAATTTGTTATTGGTTTTTGCCATTGCTCCAAGAGATTTTTCTTCGGGCACTTTGATTTTTCAGCCCCTCACCTCAAAATCTAACACTTCCAAATTCTGATTCGAATCGGAATGGTGGACGAAGAGCTGCGTTGTGGATATAATACCACAAATTAATTATTTCTATATGTATCGTCTATTTAATTGTATATCGCTGCCAAGGGGAACATTTGTTATAGATAAAAGGTGGTCTGTCTATTGATTCTGCAGACAAATCCTAAAATGTGACTATTCGACACAAACTGTTATTAAGTAGCTTGTTCTTCGTTGCACATCTCCCGTAATACACCCTGTTTGCCCTCCAAACGTTTGCATGAGCATCGACTTCAGTTTCTCTTGACTACTGTAATAGCCAGGAGAAATGAAAAAAAAAGGACCGGTTATGCAAAATGTTAGGGGGCAAACAAGGTGTATTATGGGAGATATTCTCTGTATTACTATGGCACTCACTGACCCAGACGGAGAAGTCGTTTGGAGCACTGGGAATTGAGTTATCTCCAAACTGAGACAGAGATGCTGGCATGTGTTCCAATGTAAACGAAGAAGGTTTAATCGTCTGAGAAAGCTGCCAGCGAAAAGATCGAACCAAGTTACACAAATATGCAATGAATAAAATGAGAAAGTGGAAGGGAATGCAAATCAACTCAACCTTGATGACCACGAAGCCGTTCTGTCCTTGAAAAGCCCAACAATCCCCTGGGGAGTTTCCTTGCTAAAGGGAGAGGGAAAATAACAAACAAAGTAAACACCTTTCTATCCCGAGAGATCAACTAAGATACTCTCTCAAGAATGACTAACCGTCAGTTTTCTTCTAACAATACCAATACATAATATCGGAAAAAGGTTATGAGAATAAAAGAAGTGATCACCAAAGCGAAAATCCTTTCATCTTTATTAAAAAAATTCTCTCCACTAATTCTTTAAGGAAATGTATGGAGTACAGTCTGGAGAAGTTGTATGTGGACAATGGGGCTTCAAGGCTTTAAAGTACCTTTTCTCCCCTCTTGAAAAATGGTGTTTAGATAAAAGCGTTGGGCAAACTGAAAATGGCTTAGAACGCGGTTTTGTTAAACACGAGCTAAAGTAAATTGGCCCTAAGCTAAACTAAATAATTGGCCGTTAGTTTTTCCAGGAAAACAATGGTCCCACCCGTGAAGCATTTCGAACCCACTCAACACTACTCATAGCCTGCGAACGACAGACGTTTCTCCTCGCTCATCGCCGCTGAGGGACGTTTCGCGAGGTTCCTCCTCGTGAAACGTCCCTCATCGGCGATGAGCGAGGAGAAACGTCTGTCGTTCGCAGGCTACACTACTCATTGATTATATTTAAACTACACATTTGTATCAACTACTTTATTAGGCCTCTTCCACACGCATCTCTTTTTATTTGAACGAAGATTTTTTCGCTACTGTTTGGCCTACCGCCTGCCGACCGCTGAAAACGATCACCGAAAACGCTTTTTTTTTCTATGAAGGCCACTTTGATGTACTCCTGTGGATGGATGAAAATTAAAGGGAGATTTTTTAAAACGATTACGTCACGGGTTATCAAAGTTGGTAACGTTTTCAACGCAACGTGTGGACGCGGATTTTTCGGAAAACCGGGAAAAAATCTCCGTTTACAAATAAACACGGATACGTGAAGACAGGGCCTTAGCTACACTCTGGGGCAAGTTATATGACGTACCTGGATGACAACTCTTGGGGTATTTACCTCATACCACAGAGGAATACCAAACACCATCAGCTGAGGTGCTCCGTTAGAAAACGTGGGTGAGTGATGCGCACTGTGGATCTGGCCTCCTACATTTTGTACAGAGAAGCGAGAATTTTAATCTTCTGTGTTCAAAAGTAATTTCGTAGAAAGATTGGCTTTAACCACAAAGTCATCTATTCATCAATTTCCAAACTCATTAATAATTAATAAAGAAAATACAAAAGACATTAATGAATAATGAGTGTTTGGAAATCAGATGAAAAACAGCTCATTTTTGCATCCTTCATTTCTCCTCCTAAAATCATTTTGTTTTAGAAGTAATATCAAGCATTCTACTCGAAGTTCATCAAAAATTCTCGGCTGCCCGTCGTATTTTCAACTCTTTTCTCAGTGTTTCATCTGGTGATGAAACCCTGCGTCTAATCACCACTTCCTAAACTTGACAGGGGAGTACTGGGGCCTAACCCCCCATTCTTGCTCCAAGCCCCTCCTGTCTCCTGGAGTAAGGGCCGCCGCCATCCGCTCCTGACGAAAACGAAACGGAAAACAGAAGACTAAAACTTTCAAAACAAGGGAATTTCCAAATTCCACTCTATTTACCTCTGAGTATGGCATTATAACTGGTTTACTGAAAACTGTAGAATTTACACTTTTATCTTACAGTCATCTGGACTTTCGCCTTGGACCAGGCTCCACAGTGGGGGAAAAAAGGCGAAAAAAAAAATCGACAAGAGCCAAAAAAAATCGGCAAGCGAAGCGAGCTGATCATGAACGGCTGCTGTTTCACTCCGTTTTTTGCCGTTTTCCCCACCTAGTCCAGTCCCAGGCTATCTGGTTTTAAAAGCATGCGAACGGTGATATTTTTCTTTCTGTCTAATTGAAAGTAGTCAGTACTCTTTCCCAAGAGAACATGATGGGGTGTTCCCTTGTCTTTCCTTCATTATATCACCTGTATGTACTTACAGTCGTCTTAGAGCTGTATTGAAGTTTTCGGTTTTGAGGTCTTTAGTGATCGACTCTTCGCCTTTTTCAGTTGTAAATGGCCTATACCATTGGTCAGTTTACCCGTTAATAAACGCTCTTTTTACACGAAAAGAAAGTTGTCTTCCGATTCAGGGGCGGATCCAGGATTTTCTTAGGAGGGGGTGCACCACAACATACAAGGAATGGAGTAACTGACTGGTGACGTAAACAAATTTTAAAACAGAATACCAGTTGTATTAAAAAGCCGCAAGTCATCTCAGGGTTAGGGTTAGGGCTACCGTCCCCCTAGATCCACCCCTGCGGTTTCTGCAATATTTACTTGTTTCTAGTTTTGATCTGGTTTGTATTCATGTTTAAATACATAATGATATCCTACCATCCTATGTTACATAAAGGATAATCAATCAATAAATCAACAATGCTAGGGTTACAAGAAAATCTCCATAACTCAAGGCCCCTATCATAAGTTTCTTTTTGGTAAATATTTACCGTATGTAAGATGTAAGATATAGTGTGTGTTCAATACCTGAAGACTCCAAAGCATAATCCGGCATTCCGATTTTGTCCGCATCCCAGCGGTTAAGAGCTTCAGTAATACGGCTGTTTAGTAGTCTATTCAGTTCTTTTCCGTTGCCGTTGAGGGACTGTTAAAAAAGTACAAAACACAACAGGGAATCCAACTTCAGGCAACAACTTCCTTGATTTTCATTGTAATCAGGTGTTATAAAAAAGTTTAAACAGTGCTAAAAATTCCAAATTCGGTCATAAGTTGTAAATTGTAGTTGTAAACAAATAAATAAATAACATAATATAATACTGATAATATTTTGACGTATTAATTATTTCAACATTATTAATTGTACCTTATCATCTAGGAATACACTCTGGTCACTTGGAACCTTTTCCACTGCAAGTTAATGAACATCTGTTAGTTATCCACTAAGCTATCACACAGTAAGAGTTAAAACTAAGTCTAGTGGAAATTTGCAACCTCATACTTAAGATTTTCACACTCCAAAAAACTTTACATGTAAGGCAACGCTTATTATTTTTTGGAAGACAAAGTTGAAGGCATTATGTTGTGAGTTTTGGAGAATGTGCACAGTCAGTAAGATCTAAAATATCTAAAATACTTGAATATGCTCAAAATGAGTTTGTCTCATGCATGGCCCACAAGCAGGCTCTCATGACGGGAGAAGGGGATGATCTTGTTCTCAATACTCCCCCACTGTGTCTGCCCCACCCAGATAAGAGACTGATCACAGCCTACCCAGTGCAGTGTTTTGGGTGTGTATGGCATGCCACCCAGGAAGACCTTAGATAACAATGACCCGAACCAGGTTGGCGTCCAGCGGTTTTAGTGAAAACAAGGGTCTGGATGGGGTGCTCAGTCTCGTGGGCTCATAAAACCTGGACTCAGCAATTCATATTTAAGGATTTTCTGTCACCTAAGGTATGCCTAAAATTGAGATCCCATTTTAGAAAATAAAATGCATTCTTGAAATTGCAGGTACCCTATTCTAGAAATTTGGTCAATGTCAAATATAGTTAATTTTGTTTGGTGTATTTAAAACGGTACCCTGTTTAAGGGGCCGAAAGGTAGAGGGGAGTTGTAAACTCATGATCCAGTTGGTGGCAGTGAAGTATTTTGTGGGGAACCCACACCAGGTAGATTCCCATCTAGATCTTGTTGGAGGGTCATGAGTTTGAATTTCAACAGGACCTTGGAAATTTTTCTGAGCTTTCCGATGTTAGGTTTCTCTTTCTCTTAAATTATAGCTAAACCAGAGAAATTTTAAAGACAATTTAAAATACACTTTAATTTACAGCAAGTATGTATTAAACTTGATGTAACTGCATACATTCGTATGGAGTTAAAAATACTAAAAATGCTGACTTATATTATTTTAACTAGTGAACTTACTTTTCAATTCTTGTTCAATCTCAATAACTTTTTCTTTAAATGTTTTCAGTTCTGCTACCAATTCCTCGTAATTACACTTTTCAACAGAGTTACCACCCTACAAAACATCATGAAATCTGTTAGCTAGAGAAACACCAGTTTAACCACCATTTTATCTCATTATGAAAGCAAACATTCATGAGGGAAATCAATATTAAAGTATAAGCATTCCCTAACCATTTCAAACCAAATTAGCCATGTTGACCCCAAATATGCAACCATATACAAATAGGACCAAATAGATGAAATGTTAAATTTCATTAGAGATTAATATAAATGCAGAGTTTATATCAATCAAATTATTAATCTAATTTTATTTCTGAGCAACATCTCTAGCTTCTATTTACACCATATAACTTAGGGGTTTGCAACAAGACCATAGGAACCTATTAAATGCATGCACTCAATTTATTTCCTTTGATTTCATATCCACTAGAATTTTCTTATTTATTTGCATCCTATTTAATACCTTGAGGTGATTGTTCTGGGCATGATATTGCGTCATCAAACCGTTAACTAACATGATACCCAACAAAACAAGGATACAATATGAAATCCAGTGCCAAATCTGTAAACAATCAATATGAATGCAATGAGTAAATGTAGATATCTTAATATAATGTATTTAAACTTTATTAATACATGATCTTGCTCTAGCTTATAAACCCTGTTGTTTTTGCAAACAATAAACAGTGATTAGATAGAGCCACAAAAAGCACTCAGTCCAGAACTTAGTCTCATGAAGATAAAAGTACCGTTTTTCTCTTGTTGGTAGGAGTATCCTGTAGAGAAATTTTGCTTGTTTTTGAGTCTCTACCCTCTACTTTAACTGAAAAGAAAAAAAGAAATAATTTCAAGTTAGCTCTTACTCCATGTTCACATCTCATGTATTAACCAACCTAACCCTTACTACAAACTTATCTTCTTTGTCCAGGCTGGGAGTCACAATCACAGTGGGAGGGAGGGGGGGTACCAGCTGCTACAGGGTTATGGTAGCTCCTGGCAGGAACCACTAGGTTACAAGGGAGGAGTCAGACAAAAGGCATCATATTGTACTCCAGGTTTGGAGGGAGGGGTGGGCATGGTGCTACAAATAATTATATGTTTTAGGAAAAACAACTTCAAGGTACTGAAACTGCTGCTACATAACTTTCAAGAACCTGAGGCCTGGTGGAAAACTCTAGCCAAACCGCTGGCACTTTGACGGCTAACTTAGAAGCCTGAATTTTAGACATCAGTGCAAGTCACTTACTCCCTCAGTTGCTGAGAGGAGTAAGTGACTTGAAGTAATGTCTGAAATCAGGCTAACAGCAAACAAGCAAGGAGATCGATTGAGTTTTCATAAAGTGTCAGTTCAATTTACTGTTAGTCAGCAGCCAGTAGCTAGCTGAAGAGTAGGCAGTTATTGCCTAACACCTAATACTACACTGTACTTGATTTTAGCAAATGCTCCAAAACATATCAGTTTGGTGATAACATTTGGTTTTGTGTGATATAGTTGAATAAAGCTAGGAAATCAATATTAGATCAACAAATGAGAAATTAAATAAATTATAATACAGTCATAAAACTGATTTTGAATTTGAAAATTCATATCATAATGATTATGCTTGATTCCAAAAATACTGCAAAACTTATCCATCAGAGGAAAAAAATTAGCCACAAATTCACCCGAGCATGAAATATCTAAATCTGAGGGAAGTTAAAAGCCAGATAGGATATCGATAACCCCAGAGACAGAAAACAATTTAGCCTGAGACGCCACCGCTGGTTTCCCGACAAATTGACACCTGAGGAATGAGGGCAGAAATTCCGTACTGCCTGAAGATTAGTGTCCTGGGTAGTGACATGTCATCAGTATGGAATTTCTGCGCTCCTTCCTCAGATGTCATCTTGTAGGGAAACCAGTGGTGGCATCTCAAAATGTCAACTGTTTTCTCAGGCTAAAAACAATTCTGTAAACATTTTTCTTTCAGAGGATATGTTCTTTATCATAAAAGATACTACTGGCTACTTTCTAAACTTATCTTTCAGTTTATCATGATACTTACTAGCTGATATGAAACAGTTAACTGCATTCAAATTAATCAGTTAAAATAGACCAGGTGCGCTGTTATACCTACCTGAATTTATTTCATCGGGATTGTCTAAACCTGCAAAAAACACATCATGTTTTTTAATATCATACTGAGAGTGTTTGTACAATACCCCAGTTTTATATGATAATAGGATTGAGAAACAAATTTGGGTGAATGCTCATTACAAAACCTTTTGATTCCAGACAGTTTGGAAATTATTTGCAAGTAAAACAGCCTCATGCATTTATTATACACTGCAATATGCATAGCAATTCAAAGAATGCAGCAGGGCATCGAAAATATTTTCAGTTCCTGAAATCACCAAAAAAAAAACAGATTCTTTACTCACCATAAAGGTGTGTAGGTGTGTCATCGAATCTTGAATTATTAAGAGTGTTGTTATAAAGACTGCTAGCATTGAGCAACGAATTGTTGTTTTCCGTGTCAAGCGTCTGTTCGACTTCTTCTTGTCGGCTCTTACGCGATCTGACGGATCGAGCAAGTCTCCTGTCCATTTCAGAGGATTCGGTTTTTACAGGTGTATTTTGAAAGGAGTTAGTTTTACTTGGCGTTCGACTTGATTTCCGTGCCACATCATCTATCAAAAAATTTAAAATGAATATAAAATTTCTTTAATAAATAGATCTAACAGTGTTAAAAATAACAGTCATTTTACAAAAATATGCAGCTGTTGTAAGGATCCATGGAAATGAATATATTCTGTTAAATATATATCAAATCTTCAAATGGATCTGAATCGAAAATCAAAGCTTAATTAAAAAGCTTTCGCATCTATTTGCAAGATTGTTTGTGATTAATAGCGGGAAAACAATAGGGATTGTCACATAACAATGCCCCTATCCCTGAAAACAATGAAAGTGCATATTAAGGGCGGCCTATGAAATAAGAGGTTTAGAACGGTGCAGGTCTACTGTACAAATTCAAATCAAATAGCATCTTTTTCCAAATTTTCTGATTATAAAGTTACCTCTTCTATTATACACTCTTTGAAACTAAAACAACAAAAATGTAGAGTGCAAGAGGTTAACTTCAGGACTGCTTATGTTGAATAAAACAACGTAATTTGCTTTCTCATAATTTGATGTCAAGCTAAATAAGCGATAACGTTATTCCTGCCCCAAAATCAGATTATTTGAAACTGTCAAAGCACGGAATCAACGAACAGATTAAAACTACCGGTTAATTACTCACCAAGAGCTACATGCATCGTCGTATCTTTAGTTGATCGTAAATTTCTTCTTTCGCTCATGATTTACCAAAACAGATGCACTTTCTTACAATTAAAGTTGTTTTTAGTTGTCTTGGTCACAATGGCAAGTTCGTGCGCTCATCAAACGCGCGCGAAATTCTTTGCCTCGTTTCCAAAATACTATGTGTGGCTCGTTATAAGGGTGGGGCGGGGAAGGGCGGGGCAAGGTCAGTGCGGTGGCAAAGGCCTCGTACTCAGACCTCCTCGGGGCATAGCGACAAATAAAAATAAACTGAAGTGAAATAAATGATGCCTAAGAAAAGTAAAATTTCCTCAAATTATCAAACTCCTGGCAAACTCTTCGTTTGATTAAGAATATTCCATGTCCTGTTAAAATTTCGCTGAGTGAATTTTTGCAATAAAGGCATAACTGAGAAATTACACGTGCGCACGCCAAACAACCTTATTTTAGTTTTTTTAATTTTTGCTCATGTTGTTTTAAGTCAACCTTTGAATTTCGGCAGTCTATGCCGCGAAGAAAGTTTTACTGAAAGCGCGTTGGATCGACCGACCAGAATATGACCACTCAGAAACTTTGTTGTAAATCTCTTTTACAGGGATTTACGGACTACTGGAAAGCTTTCTGTATTTTAATTTTTTTAAACCAGATTTGCAGATTTAAAAATGATGTAGTGAATACACGAACAAGTGATTTGTGAAGTTTATCCCATTTATTCTAATTCTTGTTTCGGATGCAAAAAGCACATTGTGTTTTTTAATATTATACTGAGAGTGCAATTCAAAACCAACGCCTATTGTATAATACCCCAGTTTTATATGATAATAGGATTGAGAAACAAATTCGGGTAAATGTTCATTACAAAACCTTTCGATTCCAGACAGTTTGGAAATTATTTGCAAGTAAAACAGCCTCATGCATTTATTATACACTGCAATATGCATAGCAATTCAAAGAATGCAGTGCATCGAAAATATTTTCAGTTCCTAAAATCAACAAAAAACAGGTTCTTTATACCTACCATAAAGGTTTGTAGGTGTGTCATCGAATCTTGAATCATCAAGAGTCTTGTTATAAAGACTACTAGACGAATTGTTGTTTTCCATGTCAAGCGTCTGGTCGACTACTTGCCGTCGGTTCTTACGTGATCTGACGGATCGAGTAGGTCTCGAGTCCATTTCAGAGGATTCGATATTTTCAGGTGTATGTTAAAAAGAGTTAATTTTACTTGGCGTTCGACTTGATTTCCTTGCCACATCATCTATCAAAAAAAAATTAAAATGAATAAAAAATTTCTTCGATGAAATTTAGCGAAATTTAATAGATCTAACAGTGTTAAAAATAATTCATTTTACAAAAATATGATGCTGTTGTAAGAATCCATGGAAATGAATATCAACAAATCCACGTCAAATCGATCTGAATCGAAAATCAAAGCTTAATTAAAAAGCTTACAAATTCAAATCAAATAGCATCTTTTTTCCAAAGTTTCTAATTTTAAAGTTACCTCTTCCATTATACACTCTTTGTAACTAAAAAACAAGCAAAATGTGGAGTGAAAGAGGTTAACTTCAGGACTGCTTATGTTGAAGAAAACGACGTAATTTGCTTTCTCATAATTTAATATCAAGCTAAATAACCTGCCCGAAAATCAGATGTATTTCAAACTGTCAAAACAGGGAATCAACGAACAGTTTAAAACTGCCGGTAAATTACTCACCAAGAGCTACATGCATCGTCGTATCTTTAGTTGATCGTAAACTTTTTTTTTTCGCTTATGATTTACCAAAACAGATGCACTTTCTTGCAATTAAAGTTGTTTTTAGTTGTCTTGGTCACAATGGCAAGTTCGTGAGCTCATCAAACGCGCGCGAAATTCTTTGCCTCGTTTCCAAAATACTGTGTGTGGCTCGTTATAAGGGGCCGTGGGGCAAGGTCCGTGTGGTTTAATCCGTGTGGTGGCAAAGGCCTCGTACTCAGACCTCCTCAGAGCATAGCGACCCAAGTAGCGCGCGTAGAGGAAGAAAAGGAACAAAGCAAAAGTAGACAAATAAAAATAAACTGAAGTGAAATAAATGATGCCTGAGAAATGTAAAATTTCTTAAATTATCAAACTCCTGGGAAACTCTTCATGTAATTTCGAATATAATTTCCATAGATTCTTACAGCGAAGTTCAATAGCCAACCGACGTTTGCGTTTTCCGCTGCCGTCAATCATCTCAGTGGACCTCTTAGAAAACAGAACTTTACGAACACGGGTTCAAAAGGTCACGGTTTTTGATCTGTATTGGTGGATTTCGATCTGTTTTGAGCGTTTTCGTGGTTGTTTACCACTTACCACAAATTCCCGAAAATTCCGGTCGGGATGTAAATGGTAAACGTTTTTTCTGGTTCGTCCCACTGGAAATTCCGGGACAAACGGAAATTCTGAAAAGGTAGTCCCGTTTTCCCGATTGGGACGTTCCGAATGGAAATTCGTTTACCATTTATAAGTTTCTTGAGTTTCGTACTGGTTTCATGTTATAACTAGAATCCAGTCTGGCGCGACGCGACAATCCGGGAATTTCAGGCACAAGGTAAACGACACGTACCGTTCTTACCGACCGAAAATTCCCAAACAAAATTTCTGGAATTTTTTTATAAATGGTAAACAACCCGTGTTTCAAGGTTCGTTACTCGTGATCGTATTATGATTGACGGCAGCGGAAAACGCAATTTTTTTTTGCGAAGGCGGCTTCTGACCTTTAGACCCTGTTTACATGGAGTGGGGGACCCCGGTCTACTGGGGTAGATTTCTTTTGTTTTGTGTCCCACAGAGCGTGAAAACAAGAGACACCAACCCCACTAGACCGGGATCCCCCACTCCATGTAAACAGGCCCTAAGAGTTCACATGTTTGTGAAAAGCGCAGTAAAATTTCGCTGGGTGAATTTTTGCAACAATACATTAAACTGCGAAATTACACATGCGCACGCCGAATAACGTTATTTTTGTTTTTTTATTTTTGTTCATTTTGGTTTAGTCAACCTTTGAATTTTGGCATTCTACGCCGCGAAGAAAGTTTCACTGAGAGCGCGTTCGATCGACCGACCAGAATATGAGTACCCAGAAATTTTGTTACAAATCTCTTTTACCAGGATTTACGGACCGCTGGAAAGATTCCGGTATTTTTTTTATTTCAACCAGATTTGCAGACGTAAAAATGATGTAGTGAATACATGAACAAGTGATTTGGGAAGTTAATCCCATTTATTCTAACTCTTATTTCGGACGCACAAACGAATGCGTATAGCTCGGTGTAACAACAATGCCGGAGGACAAAAGAACTTGGGACTGTGTGAAAAAGCTCTTCCAAGTAATTGTTACGTAGGACCCTGCTCCTAGCGACAATTTTTTTTTTCGGCTTTGGGTTCATCCCGTAGTCTCCCCACTTCCCCTCCCCCGCCCCCTCGCGAGCAATGTTGTGGCCAAAAAAACAACTCATTTCCACCCATTTTGCTAAAAATTCAACTTTGTTTGGGTTGGGAGGGAAGTAATCTCTAGTTTTAGTAACATTACTTAAAAGGTCCCAACACTTTTGACCTCCATTGAAGGTGGAAGGGCTCTGGGAAAGGCTGAGTCACGGATAACAGCCAGAACGAAGACAATGACAAACAATTACAGTTACGTGAAAATAAAATCATCAGCATGTAACGAGCGTGGGACAAAGTTATCATTGTAAATAAATATTTGGTATTTTGTTAATATCACATCTCAAACCCATTCCTTTTCTGGGCTTGAAAAAAAACCAATGCCATTTAAAGGAAAATTTTCATCTAGATTAATTGCGTACAAATGGTACACACCTCAGCACTAACCCCTCACGTGCCTGATTGTATCCTTAGTTACAAAACTGTAAACAAACCTCGCCGTCCCACGCGAATAGAAACTGATTACACGTGGTATGTACACATTTAAAAAGACGTAGGTGTCAATTCGGTTTTAGATACATTTTTGGTTACAATTATTACAAATATTGTAGACAAATAAACTCCCCCGTTTTCTCAAAAACGAGTGGCGAGTAAGACCAAGTGTGGGAGTAAGGAAGCAAGTATTAACAAAATTGATTGACAGAGTATTCAAAATAAAATGCGATAAAAGGTTCGACCCCTTCCCTCCCACACAAACACATGGCGAGCCATCGGGATTAAGATGCGTTTTTCATGGTGGCAATCGACACCTTGTTTTGCCTGCGAAAAATGTAAGGACGCTCGAAACAACTGAAAACAGGAGCCCACATGGGCCCATGCTAAAATGGATCTCTTTTGGGGATTGAGTCAGCAATACAGATTATCTGACTGGCCACGAAATTGAAAGATTTAAGCTGCCAGATACTTTAGGCCTGGTTAATATGCGTTTTCGATTCTTTTGCAAAGCCAGTGATCACTAGAACACAAAACTCTTAGCCATTATTTAAAGGCTAACTTTCCACTCCTGAAAAATTTAAGTAAACTGTATTTATTTCAGACGAAGAACCGTCCATTGTAAGTAGCCATGAAACCAAGTATTTCGCCACTATGTCTTCTGGATTAATATCTTATTTAGCTAAGGACTTATTTGCATTTAGGTGAAGCAGCTTTTCTGATAACATGCATTTTTCACGGGTCGATATTTAATTTTTTTCCTTCCAAAACGACCAAACACCACAGTAATTGTAAAGCAAACTACAGCAGCTATAAATATTATATATAATACCCGAGAATCTTTTCAAACAATAAAAATACATCGACAAAACTTGATACGAAAGACTGAAAATTTTTCATATGGTGAATTATGCAGCTGTACACTCCATTTCAGTGTGCTGCACTGTTCTTCGTTTGCGTGGGCGTTTAGTGGTGAGGCGGAAAAGGGCTTTTGATTCCCTGTCGGGGATCTTCGGCAGATATCGGAAGCACTCGTGAGCGAGGGTTTCTTCCTCAAAACGCCCTCAGAGTGCAAGGATTTTCCAGATTTAGATCAGGGAAGCCAGGTGAATTTACCCAGGTTAACTGATTCTAAATATAGAAAGCTATTTTTAGCTCCTTCTCTGACCAATCAGTTTGATTCGCCCAATTATTATCTCTCGGCCAATTCAATCTTCATAACACGATGTGTACAAGATGGCTGCCTCAAGTAATAACTGGGTAAAACTAAATGTCGGTGGAACTTACTTTTTAACGACGAAACAAACGCTCTGTAGGCATCCCAACTCCTTCTTGCATAGGCTTTGCGCGGAGGATCCAGATTTACCCTCGGATAAGGTAAGGAAAGCTTGTGTCGTGCCAAATGTTCGTGATGTCAAGCTCGCAGCTAACCGGTGGACATTTTGACATCTACAGGATGAACGCGGAGCGTATATGATAGATCGTGATCCTCGTTATTTTGGACCTGTTTTAAACTACCTTCGGCATGGAAAGCTCATAATCGATAAAGACCTGCTGGAGGAAGGTAATATAAATGTGCACGAATATCTCTTGAATTTAATTTGCTCTGACTGCTAACACAAGACCTCTCGAGTTCTCCCAGTTTGAGTTTACGCCTCGGTATTTTCTATGTAAACATAAAGTTTTGACGACACGGGTTTGCAGCTTTTCTTTTATAGTGCCTTTATTTAAATCGCTTTGTGGCAGAGCTGAAGTATTTAATTTCCTCTGCGACTCTCAAGTAGCTGGACTGCATATAAGAATTCGGTCTGACATCGATTTTGTACGGTTCAAGCACTACGTAAGCCTTACATGTTAACTAAATGGGAAACAAAAATCGGTATATCTAAAAGCTTTTCCTTACCTTTTCAAATGCCTCCTGTCGCAGTAAAAGCTATAAACTCCGATGATGTGTGTAAAAGGTTTATCAGAGAAACAGACGCACAAATGTTTTGACTTCGTGAAACATACGACACCTCCATAAAAGTATTGTTGACTTTACAGCAAAGAAATTTCTTACGTTTCACAACCTTTCTGTCTATCGTTTTTTCTCCATGAAAAGGCAGTTATTCCAAATGTCATTGTTGCTGGCGTGCTAAAGTGCAAAGCAGGAAAAAATTGAGATTTACAATGATTGTTTTAATTTTTTCAGATCGGGATGAAGAATTTTTTCCATTTTGATTAATATCTGCCAAGTTTAAGATAACTTGAGCGTATGGTTGTAATAGTATACTCTAAAGTACACAACATGTTTTACTACCAAAAGTAGGTATTTTTTGTTTAACAGTCATTCATATCAGGGCAAAAGTATGGCTGGCTGTAAAGAATATTGTCAAATAAAATGAGCAATCTTTTTACTGAATAACATTTGCAGGGTAATAAATTCAGAGGCTTCAATATTTCAATACAGTATTAGGGGTGGTCACGTTTAATTATTATTTACTGACAGTTTAATTTTAATTAGCATGTAAATTTATGTCATTGCTGTGAAGACTGAGAGAAATTTAAAAAAAAATCTCTCCTGTAATGCTCTTGATTTTTTCCTGAAGTTGATTTAACTGAGCCCTTTGTTCATTGTGGTCAGCAGTTTAGTTTCACAGCTGTGTCTTCTTTTGTTTTAAAGAATACCTAAAAATGGTGATTCTGTTCTGACTGGTTGTGTCGTTTGTCTCGCAGTACCATCCACTACCATGGACATGTCAAGTCCAACTATTTTTGAGGGGACTTCCAGATGGCTTGATTGACCACTAGGCCACACAGCCCACCACCCCCTCCCCCCTCTTCTATACAGTTTCAGTGTATATCACATGCACCTGGTAGTTGTTTTGGTTCAAGCCTTGCAATTAGGTTGTTCTCTAGAACAAGAGACAATGTTCCACTTTGTCTCTCCTCTGGAGGCGTGGTGGCCAAAGATTTAAAAAATCACAATTCGGATCTGTATTTCTGACCTTATTGTCATACTTTTTTTAACCTTAGACAGTGAGCTTTGTTCCACTTTCTCTAACTTCACCCAAGTGTTTAACATATACATGCTGCAGGGGGGAAACCCTGAAATGGACTAGCTTTCTACACAGGGGGAAGTAGCAAAATGTCGAGGTGCTTCAGGCTACAAAAACTGTGTTACATTCTGGCCATGTGGACCTGGGCCCATGTTTCACCTTTGATTTACCCAGCAACAGAAAAATTTTCCTTAGTTTGTGTTGATCACTGACAGTTGAAAAAGGTTTCCAACCTTTCTCATACTTATTTTTTGTGGTATGACATGAGTAAAGGCTAGTAATAACCTCTGGTTAATATAATTCTGCCAGTTTAGTTTCTTTCTTGTCATGTTTGTCTGGAGATTATGTAATGTTTCTATCACTTACATGTATTTACACATACCGTTGGTGGTAGCTTTATGTTATTAACAGTTTAGGTGGGATGGTTTGGAACCCGTAGGAAGGGAGTGGAAGCTATGCTAAAATGTTTTTTGAGAGAAGAGTTTGTCGATAATGTTTTATTATTATTATCATTATTATTACTGTTATTATTATTTTCATTGAAATGAGTTTAATTTGCATGTGAAGGAAAACTTATTTTCATATGATGCAATGATAATTACCAGGACACACTTTGAAAACGAGGCTAATGGTAATTTGAGAATGGCATTTTGGACAACCAGTGTAGCTCACAATGTTTTTTATGTCTTGATTAAAAAAAAAGAAAGAAAATATTAAAACTTTTTTTCATATGATGCAAGGATTAGTGCAGGGACATACTTTGAAAAGAGGCTAAAGGTAATTTGGGAATGGCATTTTGAACAACCAGCATACTTCACAGTGTTGTTTGTGTTTTGCTTTTCAGGTGTTTTAGAAGAGGCAGAGTTTTATAATATTGATCCTCTTGTTAAAATGATAAAAGATAGGATACAGTCTAGAGATTCTCGACTAAAACCCGCAGTAAGTCTTTGTTACCATAAAAATATTATTCTGTTTTTCCTCAAAAATTTATATTTTTTATCTATTAGACACCACGATCATTGTATGTAAATAATAATAATATATATTATTTTTAATATCTAGTAATATTCCCGGCAATCTTAGTTGTATAGTTGCATTTATTTTAAAACTGGCCAACCAAAAGCAAAAAATCCATCTACCTGCAAAGATGTGACTATCTCTATTTTGCCTTGTTTCTTTAATCAGGGCTTCTGATATTTCGCGCGGTCGCGGACCCGCGAAATTCAGGTATTTCCGAGAAATACCGCGAAATCCGCCAGAAATATTTTCAAATACATGTCGGCAAAACATATTTCATACTTATCTTGGCTATTAGACCTCCCTTGTAGAATCAGACACTATGTAGAATCTATGCAAATGCTATGTCACAAAGCTATGCAAAACCTATGTTAATCACTCATACATTGCTTTAACCAGATCCTATGTTGTTTCTATGCCAGGACTATGTTTTTTGTATCGAAAATGCTATGTTTTCGCTAGTCAAACAGAACCTACTTAAAAGCTATGCAGTTTTTAAAGGTAGGAATAAAGGAAGAAATGACATAGTTTCCACATAGCCTATACATACAGTTTACTTAGCTTGTGGAAAGAGATTTTAGACTTCATAGTCAACCTCATAGAAAAATCATAGAAAATAAATAGCCTTCACATAGGACTGAAATAGAGTTTACATAGTAAAATGGAACAGGGAACAGTTGATTAAATAGCTTTTGAATAGGGTTTGCCTAGAATTTAGATAGCCTAGAAATAGAAAAAACATATGAAAAACATAGCCTTTTTAAAGGTGACATATACTTTGCATAGCATTAAAATAGGGAAAACACAGAACAAATAGTCTTTGCGTAGGTTTGAAATAGGATTTTAATAGTATTTGAATAGGTAAAACATATCACATACACAAGCTTTAACTAGAGTTCAAACAGAAATTACATAGAATTGACAGTCTCTTATGTATGTAGGTTTCGATCTGCTTAAGCAAATGTAGTGTTTAAAATACGTTCGTAAAAATCACCAAAATAGTAAAGATAGTATAAAAATATGAATTAGAATATCTTTTACATTGGTAAGAAATAGGTTTTGAAACGAAAAATTGAAAAACCATGGCAATATAATACCACGAACACTAATAGTAACACAAATGCAGTATTTTCATGGAGGTTTCACAATCGAAACCCCAAGTTTAAGTTTGCTTATCGTGTAGACTTTTTGCTGATGTCGTGCTGTTCAGTGCCATACAGTTTCCTTTTGACTGCAACGAATAAGTATCTGCAAACAGAAAAGTGGGGATTTTAAGGCAAATGAACATAAAAACAACCTGACGTTTTAGAATTGAAACGAAGGAGTATCAAAGCGTGATCTACCGATCCTTGTTCAGATACGCGAAAAGGGGAGACAACACAGGCAAATCGAAACTTAATTGAGAAAAACATCACTTACCAACGTTAGGAATACTTTTTGTTGAACCTGGCAGGAAAAAGACTGTAAATTGAAGTAAAAAGAAGCGTCTTCTTGTAAAAACACACGCTTACAGCTCGTCTTCTTTGACTTGAAAGCGCCCGCGTGGGAACAGACAATTTTCACACCTTTTCATTGGTTGAAAAGGCCCACGTGACGATAAAACGCAAAATACGCATGTGTTGAACTCACGGGCTTCCCTGGGAACTAGTGGAAACAAAATGGCTGACAAACATCCACCGGGTATACCCATCCACCGAGGCAGGTAGCGTTTCGCAGTTTGGAGACGTCCACAATCAAGACGAAGGATCGAACCAAATGGAAAAGAAGAAAATGATGCATGGAAGTATCATTTCAAGTAAAGAACTCTAGGGAAAAGCTAAAAAGGAAAGTTAAGACAGGGATGATGGATGTAGCGATTTAATGCTTAACAACAGTTAACAAAAGTCTCCTCACTAAGAAACTATCTGCAAGCACAAAAAAAAATTATAGTACATGATTTTTCAGTGTTTTAGTTTAAAACACTGCTTTTTACTTTGGAAGTATGCTTAGCCTTCTGTAAGCGCTACCATCAACATGCCTAGTCACTTAAAAGCTATGTTGGAATATCACATAGGAGACGCATAGACTACATATATTTTTCATATGAGTGACATCGGAAAAAATATGGTTATGTAAAAGCTATGTAGCCTTTATCTCATGATAAAGCTAAATGAAAATGTCACATAGTGAATACATAGGCTGCAAATATGTTTCATCACATAGCATAGAATATACATAGCACTACGTAAAAGCTAAGAAACTTGTTGGAAATAAAAGTGAAGATCGAAATGCTATGTAAAAGCTATTTTACTTTGATGCATAGTGAATACATAGGATGCTAATCGGAAGGAAAAGCAGAACTTTCTATTGCATAGTAAATACATAGCTATGTCAAGACTATGAAAAGATTTTGAATAGTATTTGCATAGGTATTCAAAAGCTATGTGCTTTTCAAATAGCCTAAACATAGTTTCAACATAGATTTTGCATACTTTGGACTATGTTGTTTGGCGTGTTACATAGTTAATACATAGCCAGTAGTGAACATAACATAGCTGAAACATAGTCCAACATAGTAAACAAATAGCATGAGCATAGGTTTTGCATATGTCTGGTTCTACAAGGGCTGTTTTATTCATCCCAAACGTCCAAATTTTTATCTTGAACGTTCGTCACGTCAATGAGTAAACAACGTCCCAAAACTACCAGGCGGTTTTAGATGAACGTTGCGAAAAACTGGGCACTAACCATAATGTTAATGGCTTTAGCATTCGCTCATTTCTCGAGCGAACTGTTGTTGAAAGAGCAAATGATTATCCTTGTTAAAAAAAAGTGGAACAACGCTGGTCATATCGACGCAAAATTGATTGAATTTAGCGAAATTTGCAAAAAAAAACCAGCAAAATCGGCTGTTTTTTTACTGATTGTTTCTTGGCGAAGTTTCCCTCTGAAATTTCCCGTGAAATCGGCCAATTTTTCTAAGAATTTGGCCCCGAAAATCCTTCGAAATTTGACTTTTTTCCGCTAAAATCCCGCGAAACCGGCCGATTTTTCCGCAAATTTTGACTTTTTTCCCGCGAAATCAGCCGATTTTGAAGCGAATTTTGACTTTTTTCCCGTGAAAATCCCGCGAAATCGGCCGATTTTTCCGCGAATTTACCCCTGAAAATCCCACGAAATTTTGCTTTTTTTTCCGCGAAATATCAGAAGCCCTGTTTAATGTAAATGTTGTGGCTCAATAATATTTTATCCTTGGTTCAAGTTTTATTTTCCTTTGTTTTAAACCCATTATCATACATTACCATACCCCAAAACAAAGGGAAATAAAATTTAGACTAAGGATAAAATTGAACAAAAAACACCCTTAAATTTAAACAGTCATGTACCCTCTCAAGCAAGTATTTTAGCGTTCTTAAAACTTGAATGGAAAATGTAGCTAACCATAAGTAGGTTGAGTTTGATCGTCTGGGTGAACGTAGTCCTGAATAGGACTGTTGTTGTTGACAGTGACTGACGTTTTGACAACCTGTGCAGTAGTCGTCTTCAGAGTCCTATTCAGGACTACGTTCACCTGGACAATCAAACTCAACCTACTTTTGAAATGACTCCTGGGTTCAAAACCTTTCACATAGCTAACCATGTTGAATTACTGGTCTGAGTACACCTTGTAAGTGCCATTCAAAGCTCTTGTTTGTGGTCAAATTACTTTCATGTGGTCTTGTTTTCGTGTACCTCTCTAGAGGCACTAAAACATTTTATAGTACTTTGCAGTATTACAAAAAATCATTAATAGGTACCATGACCTTGTACTATAGACAACCAGGTACAGCAGTGAATGTCATGTTGTTTTATTTCCAGCTTCAGTCGAAAAAACATGTTTACAGAGTTTTACAGTGTCATGAAGATGAACTTACTCAGATGGTTTCTACAATGTCAGATGGCTGGAGATTTGAACAGGTCAGGAGAAAAATTTTTGGTTTGTGTTTCTGCAATAAGGAAATATCCATAATATTACAATGTGCACTCCCTGCTGTTGGGCTTGTCACCTTGCCATGGTGATAAAGTTTGCTTGTCTTAAGGATCCCAAGAGATATGCCTGAGTGCAGGGTTTTAGCACTGTTGGGTCCAACCATGCTGGTTAGAACTAAGGACAGCTCGTGGCTCCCATGCTGGGCATTTGGCAAGCTACCAATAACTCATCTTTGTTAAAAAATTGTTGATTGGGAGAAGGGAGCTACCCTGTTCACCACTTAGGAAAAAGGAACTAGTTATGTTGACATTTGCTTTTGTGGCAGATCTAGCTATGTTGATTATAGTTTTAAATCAGTTACAAGATATCCACAGCTCCCTAGGAAAGCTGAATGTATATTATTTAGGCTTTGTGAACATGCCCTTTTCAGTCATTAAGGTCTGCTTGTTTGCAGTTTTTGTTCATAATCTGCAGTTATAATATTAATGATTTACCCCTCCTGTATGATGTTTCCCAGGGTATTTTGTTTTTTTCTTCTTGGGTTGTGACCGTGTTAATATTCGTTTTTGCAGTTAATTAGTGTTGGAAGTAATTACAACTATGGCAGTGAAGATCAATCAGAATTTTTATGCGTAGTGTCAAGAGATGTTTCTGATTCACAAGAGCAAGGTGCAACAGGAACTGAACAAAGTGATAAGGCAAAGGTGACTGAAAAGGAGGATTTATACTAACATTTTTGATGCAGTTTTAAGGAAAGTACCCAGTTTTCTGGGAAAATCAACCTTCGAGCACAAAACGACCAAAACTGCCCATAAAATACCAACTCAGGTGTGAAAAACGACAAAAGATTGTCGTGGGTTTTTTGGCTAACCCATTCACCCCTGAACTGCCTGTAACCATTTGTAAAGTCATCAGTTTGTTAGGGCACGAACAACTTTGACATCTTACTTCCGCAGGAGGAAAAGAGAGCTGAAAAAGCATGATCTAGTCAAACATGCTGAAGGAAAACCCAAAAAACCATGTAAAGTGGACCAGAAAATTTCCAATGAAAATCTTGCTTTACTACACCCTGAACATCCTCCTATATAATTCTGTGATCCTAAAATTTTTCCCATAATACTTTCCACCAAAATGAAGCCTTTTGGTTCTTTCTGTCCAGACAGTGATTAAAAAATGGCTCAACTACCTTCAAAGGATGATTTTCGACAGAACCTGGGGCTTAGGGGTGTTGTGTTATGTGTTATGGGTCCTGACTAGACAATGATCAATTTGGAACTGTACTCTAGCCGGAGAAAAGTGCCCCCTGGTGGCTTTTTTTTGCCTTTGGTGGGGGGGGGGGGCGCCAAATTCTTAACGTCACTATTTCATTGGGCTCCTGTCTTCTGATTATAAAAATACTATGCAATGTATCTCTCATTAATTGTTGCTTTCTTAACAGTAATTTAGATTGTTTACCTTTTCAGACACTACGGCAGCGAGGATTGCGAATGTAGCACTAAAAACAAAGATAGCGTAGCTTATCAGTATTCCAAGATATGGTGTCTGTGATGTTGGCAATAAACCCCTTCCCTCTTAATTGTGATTTCATGATTTACTCTGGCCTACTTTCTTCGTCTTGAACATTCCTGTTTTTTGGCTGTAGTGTTAATCTGCTCTATACTTACTTTTTTAATTCAACCATAGCTAAGCTGCAGTGGAGGATTTTGCTATACCTCCTTTCATAGCTCAACTTGTCTTAAAAGAGCTCTGAGTAACCCCATGCACCACTCATGTTAATTATAGTGCTTGATTTATGAGGTATAAAAGGGTTGTCTTGAAAACAAAGACCCCTAAGACCCCCTACCAAATGACTCTGAACTTTATTGATCAGGGTTAGGAAACTGAGTGAATCAGGTTCCATTTAGCTCATTTTAATGGGCAAACTGATCTGAAGGTTGATTCACTCAGTTTCCTAACCCTAAACAATAAAGTTCAGAGTCATTTGGTAGGGGGTCTTAGGGGTCTTTGTTTTCAAGTTACCCGTGTAAAAGTGGCGTTAGAATAAGAGTATGCCAGTGTAAGCAAAATTGCTTGCTGTTGGGAGTTTTTCAATTGTTTCACTATCCCTGGTAGAAAACTTTTTCCAACGCGTATATGTGCCAGCTTATTTACAATAATTCCGATGACAAGCCTAATGAACACTAGAAGGAAACTGGGCAAAGTTAACCTTTGCAAAATACTTCTGGGACTGTTATTAAGGAGAGGGAAAAAAATTGGCCAATAGCTGACTGGCGCGTCCCTATTAATGATCATAGAAACAATCGCGGTTTTCCAGTCCCCTTCTCATTTCTAAAGTGGCAGATTCCTCTTGGCTGTGCTCTTTTCCTGACTACTGCAGAAATAATAGCTTTTGTCTTTTTTTTAATTTGTATCAATAAATAATATACATGAAAGGAATTTTATTTTCAAAAGTCTAGCATTTAAATAGTCACTGTGTACCATGGGTGCCAGAGACTTTTCATGCATGGTTTCAGGTTTTAGTCAGGTCTTTAAAGTGACCCATGTCAAAAAGGTCGGTTTTCGGCCAAAGATCTGTTGGCCTGCGGATGACACCAAAACATACTTCCACTTGTGTGAAAAAAATCTCTGTTACCTCAGGGTAGTCACTTTGGTACCACTCGGACAAATCTATCAAGACTCAAGATTGTCGCCTATCAGGAACCCAGTTATCCATAACACTTTTGAGTTCCTTTTTCAGAAACCTCCTGTATGCAACCACTAAATCGTGACATGTTTCAAAAATACCCAAGCTTTTGAGCCCATAGGTTCCTTTTAATTCCAATATCAGCATACATATTCTCCACACTGATCGCCTTACATTTCCTGTTGCACTGATGAGAAGAACTTGTTTTAACAATTAAGAACTTTTTCCACTTGTTGACCATTTTCCTTTTTTCTCTGACACAACCTTGAAGTTTGATGGAGCAGTGAAGGAAATATTGAAAGTTGGTTGCTCTTACTTTTTAGACTTGATTACCAACCGCCATTTGGGAAATGAGGCCATGCTTCTCTCCTGAACAAACTTCTTGGGTAGGACCAAGAGAGCGGAGGAAATCGTACCTGTTTCTCTTTGGGGTTAAAGGGTTAATTTTGCCCCAGGCGACAGTTTTGAGACTGAGGGACTGTTTGCTTTCTGGAGGGGGACCCCTTGGCCAGTTAGGTGAGGTAACCCGCTTAAGTGGGTTAGTCCAGACCTGTAATCTCTCGTTTTAAATTGACCGCGTTTACATGCTAGGTGGGGTGACCTTATGACAGATTATATGGACAGGCGGGTTACCCCACCTAAGTGGGTTACCTCACCTACCTGGAGTCCCCCACCTCCATGTAAACAGGCCCTTAGATACCTAAGTAAATCAATTACAAAATAAAAGACTTGCACTTACACTTTTCTACTTATTTAATTAAAATTTTTTTTTGCCTCACTAACTCGCTGCAGTAGGCCTTAGGAGAAGTTCAACCACTCTTTTAATTTAATCATTTTTGTTGTTGTTTCATTTGTTTTAAGGTTACTGTTAGATATATATTTGTTATATAATTTGCCAATGCTCAGTGAAATTATAGAGCGTAATATCTTACAAGTGGTGATCTTTTGTATATTTGTATATTTTCCTTGTAAAGCTGTAAAAATTGTTCGTGTAATAACTCGCAATAAATATGATTTTAGCTGCTATTTCTGTTTAGAGCTGATTCCGGCCCGTGCTTCTTGCTCTCGCTACTTTTGCCTTCATTGGCTGATAGTTGGGGTGGTTGGTTATGTGGCTACAGTATTAGGCACTCAGATGACACGCGTGCAAAACGTCTGCAATGGTTTGCAGCCGGTTCTAGTATTAAGCACAACAAAAAATTACTTAAACTAACTTAACTAACTGGTAAAGTCGTCCAGTACAAGGTTTTTTCGTCCTTGTTTTTCCACTTAGCATGCATTGGTCGTTTTCGTTGTTCGCATTGACCGAGCTCAGCGACATGATGACCAAGACAGCAACAATGGCTACGGCGAAGTGCTGCCAGAGCGAGCGTGGACTTTCAAACATGATTTTCGCCTTTGGTGCAAGGAGGAAAGTATGTGGTGCAAAAGAGAGAAACTAAAGCAATTAATAAACTTTGTGTTCGTGAAATTCTAAGCTTATCTTTTGCGTGTGGATCTTACTTTTTTGAATTTCGCGGCCGGAATCTAGTTTGTTTTGGTATCGCGTATAATTTCGATTGGGGGAGGCACATGCAAATTCGCGCCGGAAGCAGGGAAGGCACGCATGCGCACTGCGTTTTTCACGCGTGTCCACTCAGATTGGCTGCTGAGCGGGCAAGATTTTCTAGTAACTCCCTGAAAGTAAAGAAAGAGAAAGAAAAATTTTGTGCTCGTTTGTGTACATCCTCCATAAAACGTAAAGTTAGCCATTTTCACATCGTAGTCGTGCAATGACAGTAAAGAAATGCACAAAAAGTGTTGTTTTGCTTATTAAACCAAATTGCTTTTTTGACGTTCTCGTTGCTGCTGCTGTCGTCGGACCCTAGGACGGCGTGACCAGCCAAAAGAACGTCTGCGTGGGAGGCTATCGCGTATGGGACCCTAAGGTCCCCATTACAAAGAAGCTCGACACGCTTATACTAGGGAAAGCCCTTCGTGGGTATATTTTACACCGAACAAGTAAGAGGATAACGCAAAAATTAGCCTACGTGTAGCTGCACCCTCCCCCCCCGACCCCCTGACAAAGAAAAAATGGAGGGGGGGGGTCGGCTTTCACGTAGGCTACGCAGCAACCCTTAAGTGATTATTACCCTATTTTCTCCATGTTATATAATAATGCGTAATCAATCAGGGACGTCTTGAGAAATAAGGAGATGATCACCCAGACCGATAAATTCTCAGGATATTTGAACAAATTCTTCCTTATAAGAAATTTTATGGTCCAGAAAATAGAATAGTGGGCGTTAAAAGGGTTAGCGAGCTACAAACTTTGGTTGCGCCTGTCCATATAATCCCTCGTTTAAATTTGATCACGTTTACATGATAGGTGGGGTGACCATATGAGAGATGATACGGACAGGTGGGTTACTCCACCAAAGCGGGTTACCTCACCTACATGGGGTTCCCCACCTCCCTGTAAATAGGCCTTAAGTGACGTCTCACTATAGCATCTCTTTAATCAGACTCGTGAAGAGGAACCAGTCAGACGCGTTGCGTGGACCTCTGCATTCAAACAGTTTTTCCTATATAATGCCAATAATTATTAATTAAGTGTTTGGAGGGTTCGTAAAAAAGTATAGTCTTTTAGCACTGTCAATTATCTACTCTGACAAAATTTTCGGATTTCTTCTCTGAAATCTTCGGTTGTCTTTGCACATCTTCGGCAGTATTCGGGAATCTTCGGTAGCCTTCGGAAATCTCTAAAAATAATCAGGAATTGTCGGGAAAAGGCGGAAAACTCCTTGATTGACTAACAAAATAATATTGCCTTTTTTTAGACGGTTTGGTTTCTTTTTGGAAAAATTTACTGTTAGGTTGAATTTTTTACTGTTAGTGTCTAAATGACTACAAAGAGATTAAAAATCGGTAGATTTACGCCAATTCTAGCCATAACAATTGTTATAAGCTGTTCAGTTTATCTGCTCATCTGTCATTTTGAAAATTTCTCAACGTGAACCTCACGTAGCCAAAAGATAAAGTGTTTAGTATTATCGAGGTGCTCTCATTCAGACCCTCGCTTACGGGAGCTTTAAAAAACAAAGCTATGAACCTCTAACTCGTCAGAACTGACTCGTAAACCTTGAAATTGTTCGCGGTCGCCTACGTAGCCTGCGTAGCAAGCGATTCCGCGCGAGTTCGTCGAGAAAACTGGAACGCGCTTGCTACGCAGGCTATCGCCTACGGGAATTGTCCGGTTACGGGAATGTAAAAATACTGAGTTTGTTTCAGAGTTGAAACGGGGGTTTGGGAAGGCGGCCGTATTAAAGTAGAGCTGTCCGCTTACGATAGTGTCCGTGTAAGAGGGCTTCCACTACATACTGAATAATGACACTTTGTACTTACGTATTTTTCAATACAATGGACTTTCCGCATATAATGCACTAGTGACTAGCTTTCAAGTGTATGAATAACACTGAATTGCAGACCCAATAAAACGTCATCATTAGTGTGAGGATTTTGCTGCAACATAACAGAGGTCCTCTAATATGTTACAACATCACTGCTTCAAATTCGTTTGCTACTTGCACAATGTTTGCCGTCGTTTTTGGAACGCCAACCCTAAGGAATTTTCATGTACGATTGTGTACAAATGTACACAAATGGCACACGCAATGAACACACGGTCCTATATCGAGATCATTTGTTAGTTGTATTTTCTGGTGCCATTTAGAGAAAACAAAAAGCACCAAAGAAATTGAATATAAATACTGCATCAACCTGCGAGAGTTGTAACTAAGTCTACTCTCCTTTTTTTTTTCAAAAAAAAAAAACTTGTTAACCTAAATGGAAGATTTTGTTTGTACAGATTATAAAATAGTATTTTGGCTGCCTTCGCATGTTTGATTTCAATTAGCGATTTCTGGCGTAATTTAAATTACCGTTATCATTGTTTAACCTTTTGTGACTTAGAACTATAGCAGAATTAAGAGAAGAAGACGTGAATCGCTTGAATTGAACAAGGACTCAATGCACCTTGCGGATAAATGGCCAGGATTCCAGTCTACAAATAGTGTTGAAAAATGTTACCAGTGGATCCCGCCAGAAAGTTGAAACCACAGCAATTATGTTGTTTTAAATATGCCATCCTTTAAGTGTGTAGGACAAGCTTCTTGACAAACCTATGCTCGATAAAAGTGATGAATGGAAGGATGGGCGAAGGATTAGCGCTTTTTATCTTCGTGTTGTTTTCAAAAGCCAAGAATAGCCACCAAAGCGCAGGGAATTTTGTTTATCCACGCTCTTATTCTAGCTTTGTCTCTTCGGACTGCCCCCTTTTAATTTTTTGTTATCTTGTTAGCAGTTTTGGCAAGCACCAGTCAGGACTTCAGAACAAAAAGATCATTAAGTTCAATTTGCATAAGAATATCTCCTTTTTATAACTTTACTCTACAGGCGATAAAACAGATAAAGCCATTACATAGCGGACTGTAGAAAACTTAGTTACGATTTGGTAGTACGTACCGGTAAAAAATGATATAGAAAGTACCGTCTACGCATTGTGCTTCCGTCGATCTCCGGGGGTTCTTTGGTTTCTTTGGTTGGAGTTGTGCTTACTTGCAAGATGAATAGAGGAACGAGAATGGACGTGAACGACTTTGCTGGCGCTGAACCAATGTTATTAGGCAGAAAAATAAACCGAAGGCTTTCGGTTCAAAACAGTCAACTTAACAGTAACTGGTTGAAAGTTCGCCAATCTTTGGACAAGATAAAGGGTTTTGAAGAGACCAAGATGGAACGAGAGAAAAGCGAAATGTTGAAATATCAAGAAAAACTCAAGGGTAACAGTGGGAGTTTTGACATTTCTGAAATTTCTACGCTGAATACAGCGCGGAGAAGCCGGGCAATGAGTTTTAAAGAAGCTCCAGGAGACGGTGTGAAAGTCACGTGGCCAGAAAAAACAGTTAAACCGCGGCAGCGAAGGCTGTCTATTTCAAGTGATACATTGATGCAATCTTCTACGATGAGCTCAGAGAAAAAGCGTATTTTTCGAAGACGAGCGAGCTTTTCGTTGCTAGATCTTAAGAAGCTTAACAGCGAATTTTCTAACCTAACGAGTGATGTATCAAGAACATCTCTGGACTCTCTAGAAGAAGAGCCGGTCTCAGATAGGCGAAAGTCGGTATTTGACATCACAGAGGAAGAAAATGCTGAGCCGATTAGACTTCAGCCCCCGGTTCGCCTTCCCCCTATTCACCAACTTACACCAGCTAAACTCGCCACGAGAAACTTTGAAAGTGATACAAACTTCGAGAGAAAGAAAAGTGGCGAACTGGATGAAACAGAAGACTTGAAGTATTGTAGATATCTGCGAAATTGTAGGAGAAAAAGTGTTGCATAATTCGACGCGAATTTTTTTCAATGTTTCAATAATAATCAGAGTAGCGGGAGAAAATTTGGTCCATCTAAACACATCACCACATATCCGATAAATGATAAAAGTTTTTATTTTGAGCTCATTGAATCAACGTCAGTTTCCTTCTAAAAGTGCAAACGAGTCACATGTAATTTCATGTTCCCGTCTGCAAAAATAACTGAAAAATACTCAGCGTGATACTGCGAGGTAGCTCTTAATGGCGTAATGAAACACGGCTTCACTTGACGTATAAATAGGTATCATTGCCTTGCCGGCACTGATTTAGCTTGTGCTTTAGTGGACTCTATGCAAAAGTTGTTACAAGCTATCACCGTGAAGCCCCGCAGAACAAACTAGTTTGTAGATAATCCACAATACTTCTGCATGCTATCGACGCCCGGCATATCAACTCTGGATTGAAAAGCAAAAAAACCCTGACTGTTGCACTTGTTGCGCAAGGGCTGAACTCATTCGGGAGGTGCATGGATATTTATTTAGTTATTTGCTTTTGAGGCTATTTCGTACATATTTATAGAAATCGAGATCATTTCATAGCTTTATGTACCCTTCAACATCAGAGAGGTTGTATGGAAATGAAAGAAAAGGCTGTGGAAAAAAGCTCTTGGCAAA